TTTCCCAGGAGGTCTCCCATCCAGGCACTGGCCAGGCTCACACCTGCATAGCTTCAGTGGGTTTTGAGTTACAGGGTGGTCTGCAATGGACTGTGCATCCTGTCCACCCTTACACCCAGTGCTTCCTAGGATAGGCTCCAGGATACTGTGCCCCTGAATTGGTTAAGCTGAAAAATTATGTGATGATCATGTGAAATCAAATTGAGTTTTTAAAAACTTCCCATATGAGATCACCAGTGAGATTAATTGACATTAAACCTGGTCTATGTAATGCTGGCAATATTATTTTCGATTGTGTAAATGCACGTGTTTGAGCACTTTTGAAATTTACCAATAATGCGTTGAGTCAAAGGAGGGGTTAGAACATTTCAACATTTTGGATGTCTCTGAGGCCTTCTAACATGTACTGTAGTAAAATTTCTCCTTTTAATTGCTTAAAGGTTTTACAGGCACTAAACTAGAGAATGCTGGCTACTGTGGCTGACTGGAAAACTATTCTTGCTGTCCGGGCTAAGGAAGATGAACCTGGCCCAACATCCAAATGTTAATTTCAAAACTCCATTTAAGAACATTTGCATATTTTCCTTGTCTTGTCATACAGGATTCTATCCTCAGTGAGGCACGCCGTCATTTTTCTTCAAGAATTACCTTTTGTTAGACATATAGCCTCAACACAGGTCGAATTTGGAGAGTGGAACCAGATTCGGTATGCCTCTCCAACAACTTTCAGGCTTTGTTTGCCAATTATAAAGACAGCAAAACCTGAAAGACCAATAGTCAAGATTCCCAGATATATTCCAACACTCCAGAACCCTTTACTTAGTCCACACTGCCAGCACCATACTGTCTCCCATAATATGCAAGACAAACACGTTTTTATATCTTGATTTCCATTTATTATTGCATACATACAACACCAATTATCTCACCCATAATGCACAATTAACAATGCACTTTATTGTGGTACTTTCACAATTGTTATCTTATGAATTGCAGCTTTTATTAGGTACAGAGAAGGAAAAACAGAACATGGTCAACAAAACACAGGACGTTCACCGATTAGTAATTGAGGGACACAAATCTCACACAAAAGGAGGTTTTACCTCTAAAAAAATAAATTTAATAATGTTTATCACACGCAACGGAAACCTGAAGCGATTGCTAAAGTTCTAAAATGTATGCTTCGGCCATACTGCATTGACCTTCATAGCATAAATGAATTTAGTGGTTTATCACCAATAACCATAAAGAAATCACCTTCTGCTTGACAGTATACTTTATCAGTGTTTAGTAATATATTAATCCAGAGTTTTGGATTGTACAGACGAAATTACTATTTAAAAGTGAAAAGAGAGCAATAAATATGAGAAGCATTTCTAGCTGGTTCAAAAGCCCCTGATTTACATTTTAATCTAAATATCCAGTCCCTTCAGTAAAATAGTGCAAGACGTGTACTAATGGCCAAGTGGAATATTGTCTTACTCTTCAGCAGTGCTTGGAGAACATTTTGATCCTTTTGTGCAATCAATGTGAAGACAACACCATTATCTGGGAAACCGCGTTTTTTTTAAAGCATTGTATTATAAAGATTAATGACCCAAATCACAGACAGCAATCAAATTGGGTTCAACGTCAGGTCTGTAAAGGTAGTGATCAAGTTTGATTAACACTGGTAGCTTTAACACTAGTTTATGGGATTTAAAAGTTACATATATTACCACTAGGAAAACACTGTTGACTGTCCCAATTTACTGTACACAGTTCCAATTCAAGATTCTTGTCGACACACAACAGAAAACACTCATTTAACAAAACGATTTGGTAAAAGCTCCAGATTTTTTTCCTTTTTAGTTAACTTAAAAATCTGCAGCCCTAAAATATTACAACTGTTTTTCGTAACAACTAAAAGTAAAAAATAGCAGGGTGTTACCAACTCAAGAGCACTTCTCCACATACTGTTAAGTATACAGAATAGAAGAATTCCAGACGTTTGCTTTGTGTGTCACGAAACACTATCAGATCATCACCAGAACTACAGAGCACCACAAGAATGACATTAAGAGCCACCAGAGGGCTGGTTCATGGACAGAGCAGGGGTGCCTACACTACCTCAGTACACAGAATAATTAACATGCAATGCAAATATCTCAGAAAATGGACATAATTGTGCAGATAAAGCAATTCATTATGAAATGTATTTCATGACAGGGGCATCATTTCAGTGTCAAGAATAATCTGATTAATAGATCCATTATTTAAGGGCTGGGAGCCTAGAAAAAAAGTCATAACCCAAAAATGTCACATCAGATGCAGACAACCCTGCCAAGTTGACTGTTACAGCTGTGAGGCGATGAAAGAGGCTAAGACAAGCTAGTTGTTGTCGTACATCACTTGGAAAAGACCCCTAAAGAACAACCCTTATTATACACTGAAGAGGCGCAGTTTGACTCATTGCCAACTGGCGGCACATTTTCCTTGAATATCATCCTTGATTTACTCTATAGTTTCCACAACTCCCCAGCACGGCTGCGGGATTTACTACAGTACACTTACTTATTAGACAATTACAGCGAACACTCACTGGCCAACATGCTGGAAACACACTGAAATATGTATTGGGTCGCGTGGAGCATCAAGAAAACTTGAAAATGAGTTGCATTCAGGATAACGCATCTGTAGGCCAATCCCATGTCATTGTTTTTGCAGGACTGCTTTCAGTTCCAGTTTGATGACAGTAATACTATGTGAGACTGAACTGCTAATACTACCACCAGCTCCACCAGTTTTCAACAGGACTGGAACCTACTGACTGCAGGCAAGGTAATGGAAGTGTGTCTTATTAAAGCCACACCAACTACAGTATACAATGTCTACCAATGACAGCGCCTTTACATGTGGAATTTCTAGCAATTTGGGCAATGAGTGTTCTTCCAAGTACTTATTTTAATGTAATATCCACGATTTAGTGAAAAAAAGCTCTGTCATTCTAACTCTACATCCATACTTTTCTGCAGCAGTTACAGCACAAGGATCTTCACCAGTCTAACAGCACAGTACTTGTCATGATTATTTTAATTTTAGATCCAGTTCTAAATGTACCATCTCTACATGAAATGACTAGAAAAACAGAAAATGCACACATACAGCACACAAAGTACTTTTTTATAAATATATATGAACACAGGAAGTGCACATTAACCTGTTGTAGACAGATTAAAACAAAAAAATATATGCACATCAGATTCATTGAATAAACAACAGCACTTTTAACAGCTTTGGATTAAATAAGGTAGCATGAAGTATAAAAGGAACTGTACAATCAGCTGTTGGTTCAGTCCAGATACCTCTGCAGAAGACACAGTTATTTATTTTTCTTTTTATATTTGGCTTCAGCACACACAATGTAGCCTATTGAAAACAAAGCTTCAGTTCAAAAGAGACTTTTTAAGATGATTTTTATACCAATGCAGCAGAGCAACAAGGCTAAAACTGGTAGGTTGATAAAAAGTGTTTTTCTCCCCCAATTTATTATCTCTATCACTTTTAAAACCAAAAATGCAAAACAGAACTGGGTCAAAAGAATTCAATTCAATACCGACTAAAGCATGCCTTGTTCTGTAAGTCCAGTTTCATGTTGTGATCCTATATTTTTAACAGATCAAATTGTGTTCAACAATACTGAACGTATGGGTTTAGAAAGAGGTGCTAAAGTGCTTAGAAAGCGTACATTTATCAGGTTCTTTTCTCTGTGACACTGCTGCTCAGGTAGCTTAAAGAAATTATTTAGAATCTCAAAACAGCCAAAATACAACTAGTGGCTTTCCCAGTGGTTAATTCCATATGTTTTATCTTGCATTTTGGTTTTCTTGTACAAATTCCAAAGTACTTTTGAATCTTTTGACAGAAGCTGAAACTAGAGTTTACACTCATTTTTAATAAACCAATGCATTGTGCTGGATGCTGCCTCAAACTGCACTCCAGGAAAGAAGAAATAGGAATCAGGACGTTATAATATTTGAAATACATAAATAATGTCTAATGAGCAGCTAAAGATAAACAATAGCATGTCCTCACAGAATTTCAATATAGTTCTATATACAAACACGTGCATATTTATACAGTACCATTCAAACATCTGGGAAATAAATACACGCAAACCTTTTTGTTTTTTCACTGTAATCGCCATGATTCACAAATATATTTGCATTCTTGAACATATATATATATTACACACTGATATCTAAGAGTTAGGTTAGCCCAACATATCCTCCCTCTACTGAGACAATTAAAGACAATTAAAAATGAGACAACACACTCTGAGGGGTGTATGTGCTATCTGAAAAACCAGCTTTGAATACCTGAATATCAAAAACATTTTCTTTAAACACATAAGTACTTTCCTTACATTACTGAAAAGGATCTAGAACAAAATTTTTCCCAACATTTAAAATGCTGATTAAATATGTAGCCCTACAATGATTAAACAGACGAGCGCTCTCTGTATAGCTTTCCCAAAATAAGGAGTAGAAGTTTGTCTGTTATTACAGTTATGAAACATTCTCCTCTTTAAAGTCACAAATACATTCTAAAGGGAAGACAGCCGTTCAAATGCTGTAAAGATATTAATAATACAGATTTAGAAGACGGACCCACTCTAATTCATCGGAACTAACACATTAAACTTCCAACTGCCCAAAATTTATATCAATTCAATTATACAACTTTCCTCGTAACAGGAAGATCACTCAGCTGCCATCACAACAAAACAACATTCCCACCAGCATTTGTAGTACATTATAAAAGAGGCAATAGATGTCTGCTCAGGAATGCAAAGATATTAGTAAACATTGTTCAACCCTCTTTATGTATTGTTTCCATAGAGAACTGCACATACACTTACACATATTAGGCTTGCTCCTTTTTAAACATTTATTTTTAAAAGTCCACAAATAAATTAATCTTTAATAATTTCCTGTTTTTCTTCTTTAACAGTTCTTTTAACCTCTGCAGCTTCAAATCACTATGCACAATTAAAGTTGTTAAAGGTATTCCCGATTTAGATATGTATTTCACCAGAGACATGACTTTCAAATGTAAATCTTTTATTTCATTTTACTTTAATGTAATTTTTAATGTGACAGAGACTCATCTGTAGCACTGCAGTTACCCAGCACCTGCTGGCCAATAAGCTGTAAACTGTTAGATACTAACTAAGCAGTTAGAAAAAGACAGGTTTAAATGAACTTAACAGAAACTACCTGAATCAAAGTGCTTTTATTTTATTATGATAATGTCCATTCTTCAGAAATAAAAATGTCAAAAGGAACAAGCCTATAATTATATATACACACAAACTGTACAATTCCTGACAAAATTAAAATAAGACAGCAGAAATGCATATTTTTGACTAAAATGTTACATATTAAAATGGAAGAAATAATCAATTCCTCATCAATGAGAATAGTGCTTTAAACCCAACTAGACATGGCAGCTGAGATTAACTGAAGGAAAGTTTACACAGCTACTGTACGGAAAAGAGTGAAAAAGGTTATGATTGAAAAATGACTATAAGTTGTTTTGGGTTAAGGCCGTACAAATTTATAAAAAGAAAATGTTTACTGTCTTTTTCCATGCTAATGTGTAGTATTGCTTAATCAATACTATGCATTTCTAAGATACGTAACATTTATATCAATCATAAACCCATATAAACACGTATTTACTTTTAAATGTTTACTCCTTTCTAAATCTACGTTTCTGTAAACTCTTTTGAAGTGAGAAAGCTGTTGGTTGAACCCGTGTCCATCTGTGGGCTGTGGGAATTTGGTCTTGTGAAGAGTGGAGGTGTGGGGCCTCGGAGTGCCGCGGCTGGGGGTGCCCCCCAGTTGCTGCCCAGGTCAAGCCCTGAACTGGGGAACAGGCTCTGTGTGTCGACAAAAGGGGCGCTCGAAACAGGGGGCGCCGCTGGCGGCATTCGTGCTGCCTGGCAGAAGTCGTTGTCATCGTCAAAGGTGACCCACTGCTTTTTCCGGGTCTCCTCAGCGTTGACCTTCTCTAGGATGGGGCCTACAGAAAGCTCGGCGTTCTGACCGAACCCAGACATCGTTCTGTGAGGGAAGGGCGGAGCTCCCGGAATGGAGATGGGAGGCGTAAGCTGGCTTCCCGAGGTGACGGGCTTTCCAGTGAACGGGTTGGAGCTGACGGCCTGGATGTCAGACAGAAAAGGGTTTGGAGACACGCGTAGGGTTTCTGTTGATTTGCTGCGAGAGGGAATGGGGGGTAACTGCAGCATAGGGTTAGGGGCTTCCTTGCCATTCGCAGAGCTCTGTGATAAGGGAATTAAAAGGGAAAGCGAATCTGGGAAAGTGGACACACGAGGCACTGGCCTTTGAGAACAACTTCTGGTCAAGGACTGGGTCTTTGGCCAGGGACTGGAAAGCAGATCAGATGAAAGCAGATTGAAGGGGTCGGTCTTCCATTGTGCTTCTTGGATGCCATTCACTCCATTGGTCTGCAGAAGGACAGAACATAGAAATGAATTTAACATCACTAATAAAACAGATTCACCTATTGACAGTTATCAACTTTGCCATGCTAGCCAACTGTTTGAGACACAATAAGGTAGGATTAACATTCTCCAAAAGTTTTCATTCTTTCCAGCGGAAATGGTTGACAGCATAGAATGCATTTTTGATTGAAGAGCTTTCTGTTTAATAGTATATGATAGTATTTTCGCTATTCTGTTAAGCCTCATTGTAGCAAATGAGAAGTCTCTCTTGATTACTTCCAACCTGCTGGCTTTCTGGTGACTGCAATACTTATTACTAAAAGAGGCAGCTAGATAATAATGAATAAACCATCCTGTGTAATTATCATTATTGGCTCCTTGCCTATTGATCTTTAGATTCAAATTTAAACTTCTTCATATTTGCCCTTATGAATTTTTCTGAATTTGTGAATTATATTTTTTGTACTTTGTATGTCACTGCTCTCTGTACTTGTTTTAATTCCTTAAGAGCAACCTTAAGATCCTCAATGATCCTCAATCCTCAACACCAAACTTGAGAAATGATCATTCTGCTGCTAACAAAATTGATGACAAAGCAGGTTGGATTCATTTTCACATCTCCCCCTGTAGCTTACTTCATTCAAAGGAAAAGATCAGAAACCACAGACTATCCTCTATTTCTGTCTGAATAACTTCTGAAATGTATGGGAACACAAAGGTGACTAAAAAGAGAGTGCCCTACAATCCCAGCAGTGCCCCATCTCTAGAAGCTCTCTACCTGAACCTACTGTACATTAGTATTGGCAGTTTGGCAGCACCATCACCTTCAGAATGCCAGCCAGGTCAGCTTGTTGCTGAACTCAATGCTTTAGTCTTTAGGCTCTTATGGAGGTCCTAACTAGAATCCTCCCCTGTGCCTTAAATGTCATGCTTATAAAGCTGGTCACGCAGCACAATTCAGCAAGAAAACAGATCTGGAAAAAGCAGTAATCATTCTCAAACTTTCTTAGCTCCAGGATATTGCCACATATTCTGAATTATTTTGGCACAAATGAATGAATTTTGTTTTAATCTCAACTGTTACTAAGCCATTGCCATCTACTACTTATAGAGAACAGATTATCAGTTGAGTATCTGGTCTAACCTAAAGGCTACTGCAAACAGTACCATTTTATTAATAAATTCAACATCATTTGCTGTTAAAAGACTGTAAAACAAAGAACAAAAATAATATATCTTAATATATCTTATATATCTTAATATAAACAAGTTAAATCCATCAGGCAGAGTACAAAACATTGACAAAGCAATTATTGACTAATACATAAAAAGAGACATTAAAAAGGCAACCAGTGCCATTCGTTCTTATACTCACATATTGTGTTTTTAGCGCCCCTTATTATTTTTAAACATTGTCAATACATATTACTTTTTTCTTTATGTTGTGCACTAGAAAGAAGACTGTGTGTCTTATTTGCCTGGCAACAGAATATTTAAGTTATTGCACTGTGTGTCTATCACAGTATTCTTTTATATATTGAACATTTATTTAAACACAGGCTGCTAACAAATTTAGCTTACAGCCTCACCCCTGCACCATGCAGGGAACATTTGCCTGTATTCCCACCTGTCAGAGACAGTCAGTATTTCACACACCAAGAGCTCCACTATGCCTTGCAGGTGAGTTAGCATTGGAGAAGTGGCCTGCCTCTCACTGTGGTCACTATAAGCTGGCAGGTGCCTTGCAGGTCCCAAAACGTATGTTAGCTTATCTTGGCTTAGCTCTTGACCTTGGCAGCGCTCAGGTCAGCCAATTAATCAACTGATCAGTCAATTTAGTTTCATCTTGTGCTTTTCAATTCAGAACATTATAAAGGCACATTACATACATGTTACATTAAAATGTACTGTAAACACACAATTAGGATCAGTGTGCTGCTCTTGACCCCCGGGCAATGACACAGTCCAGAGGTGAACCAAACCAGCCACATGGGAACACGGAATAAAAACAGGGTAACACACAACAATCAATGAGATCCCCTGCCTTCATGTCTTTATATTTGAGTACCAGTTCTGCTTCACGACTAAGGCAAGCTCTTGTTTGTTCAAAACCAAGAAATCATTTCTTAAAGGCAACAGAAGTCTTTGAACAAAATAACACATTGATAGTTATGATGATTTCAGTAAAGCTCTCAGCAGTGAAATGATATGTTTGAGTTAGTTAAAAATAAAATCCACAGTTATAAAAGAAAAGATTACAGCAGTGCTGGGTGATAACCAGGGAACAATGGAAGAAGCCAAGTATCTGAAATGCCTTGAATCATGTAGGTGGATGGAAAATAAAAAAAGTAAAACAAAGCGAAATATGTAGGTCATGTCAATGTATGAAATCGAGTCATACATTGGTTTGCAACTAGAAAAGCTAACAGGGAGGTCACAATAAGGCTTAAAGAGTTAAATACCTGTCACCCTGAGGATTGCTCCTGCTTGTGAAAGAGAGAGATAGAAATCAGGTGAAGGAAATATATGAGAAGTAAGGATACAAAATTTAAGGGCTGAAATTCTCAGGGGAAATCTGGGCCGACCTAGAAGAGTGTATATTCCTACCAAAGGAGAACTTTAGATGTTTTAAGTCATAAGTGAAAGAAGTTAAAGTTCTTTTTTGCCATTTAAATTTATCAGGAAGTACCTATGTGGTTACAGGCAGCAATAGGAAAGGAGGCAGTTCCTATACCCTGTAAAGATGTGAACAGCATGCAAATAGCTTGAATGATAATTCACATCTAGGCTGTCTAGTGGCAGCAGAGAAAGTCTGTTAAATCTTGAAAAAATTCACCCTTCTCTGATACAGAAATGTCTATGATTACGATTGTTCACATTTTCTGAATACTGAGGAGCCTGGAAGCTAATTCCTTCTGTAGTACTGGACACGGTTTTAGAAGCAACAGGTTTTGAATGAAAGCAGAAAGAAAAGTTTACTTTTTGTCCTTTCAACACATCCCTGAATTGCTAATGTCTTTTTTCCCCCAGTTAAGACTTGTATGTCATATTCATACACTGTTGTCAAAATCTACGGCCACAGGGATAATGTATGTAAATAAACTGGAGAGTCAAATTCATGCTGTATATGACAACACAGGGTCACATTCACGGAGTACTGATTTCAATTATCTATTTCACTGTTCACTAGATTTACCAAAGGAAAAAATGTGTAAAAAAATAAGCACTTAAACTGCTTTTTAGTATCCAGGCAGACTCCTGCACATTTACAACTGTATTGGGAGTTTATATTGTAGACGGAGTTAACACCTAGCATGGCAGGAAGGCAGGGTTAAACGGATCCCCAGAGCCAGTCCGGGGCTCTATGCCGAGTGCGCTGACCTGTGCGGGAGGCACGGCCTCCGGCAGGGTGTGGGAGGACCTGCTGCGAGGTGGGGGCTGTGGGGGGGGGTCCAAGGCCTGAGGGGCAGGGTGAGACATTGTGGGAACCAGAGGCTCTTGCAGGGCTCTGACGGGAGGAGGAGCAGCAGGCTGAGGCTGTATGGGAGAGGCCATCTGTGGCTTCAGGGGTTCGGGAAGTAAAGATGGCCCTAGAAGACATAAAAAAGAAAATCAGAAATGCAGGGATTCAGTTTTTTTCCCCCAAAGAACACATACAATTATCACACAGTTCCTTTAAGCCTTCCCTTATGTGAAGTACACTTCATCTTATCTGGATCACTCTATTTCAGTTTGGATAAACTGCTGTGCCATCATACTTTCTGAAAGGATAGGAAACATCTGAAGGTATCGAGAACATTTTTCTCTGATTGTCTGATTTTACTCCCTCCCCCCCCCCCCCATTTGGGGATCCTTCAGGATTCAGCTGCATGAGATCCTTGGATCAAACATCTACTAGCAACCCGATGAGTTAAGACTGCTGAAATGGATTCCTTTCACTTACATTTGACTTGTAAGTTTTTTTTAAACTTTAAATGACAATGAAATAACAGATGGTACTGATGAACTATTTTGTCATGTCCCATTCCAGGTGGTCAGCCTCCAAGCTTTTCCCCTTGCGTGGACAGGGACTCACCCAGGGAGAGCTCCGTTGGCTTGCCCTGGACCTCAGGAGTGGGTCTGGAAGCATGGGGTCTGGGTTGGGATGTGATGCTGATGACACCCGCACGGGGAGGCACGGTCTGCAGACACAAAGAGTAAGACACTCTCTGAAAGCGAGTTTCTACCAACTACCTAGTGGAAGAGGTGTTAGTGGGGCCAGCAGGGGGCACTCACACTGCGGTCTATGTGGGTCCTAATGCCCCAGTATAGTGACAGGGACACTATACCGTAAACAGGTGCCGTCCTTCGGATGAGATGTAAAACCGAGGTCCTGACTCTCTGTGGTCATTAAAAATCCCAGGGCGCTTCTCGAAAAGAGTAGGGGTATAACCCCGGCGTCCTGGCCACATTTCCCAATGGCCTTCACTAATCATGGTTTCCTAATAATCCCCATCTATGAATTGGCTTAATCACTCTGTTCTCCTCCCCACTAACAGCTAATGTGTGGTGAGCATACTGGTGCACTATGGCTGCCGTCACATCATCCAGGTGAGGCTGCACACTGGTGGTGGTGGAGGGGAGTCCCCATTACCTGTAAAGCGCTTTGAGTGGAGTGTCCAGAAAAGCGCTATATAAGTGAAAGCAATTATTATAATTATTATTAGTGAAAATACTGGCAGGAGAAATTGTTATTTACATATATTACATAAAGGAATGCACTCTTTTCTTCCTTATGAAAGACAACATCAGTAAATAAAGCTGTGGCTTTAAACCTTCACTTCAGAGGTTCTGACCAGAAGTGTCATTGATTGCTGCTGTTTACCTTCTGAAGAACATCTGTGTCTGCAGTTGAACTGGCATCACAGAAAAATAAGAAATGCCATACAAAAAAAACTAAAGTGGAGGATACAACCTATTAGGAAAAGCATTTTTTTGCTGTAAGTGGGGTTGGAGGACCAGTAGGTGGCAATGATCTCCTTGGACTAGGTTTCAAAAACTCCTGCTGCAGTATGGTGGCTGGAGACACAGTGCTGCAGGACATTTCACCCTTCAAAGAGATGTGAAACCTGTGCACACTGTAGGTCACATGGCACTGTTCTTAAGAGTAGGGGTGCTAACACCAGTGACCTGGTTAAATACTACTCCACGCAATCTATATTACTCCCATAATTCAAATAGTTCTGTAAATTCTCACTATTCCACCTCATTTATTGTGTAGTGGGACTGCTGCCACCTGATGGGTGTCATGTGTCACGCAGGTGGGTGACAGACTTTAGTCGCTGCTTTGATATCCTTTTGAGATGAAAAGTACAACACATAATGCAAAAATTACAAAATACATTCATTGTTCACTGCTTGAGGAAGTGGTTTCCTTTCGGTAACTTGATATACCACATCAACTGAAAAAGTATTTGTACTAGTTTAGGGGAGATACATACTGGTTTCGGTGGTCCACCAGTTCCCTGGCCGGCTTGAGTCTGAGGTCGAACTGCAAAGACAAAATTAGTTTTTATTTTTTACCAAAGCCATTACCCATCTCAGTACTACATTTACACGTCGAGAAGAATGAACACTTTCATTTCACGTCTCTTTAAAAAAAAAATCTATTAATAGCAATATATACTAGAACTGAAAGTAGAACTGGTGCTCCTTAAACCAGATGCTTTTGTAGTCACAATATGTCCATGACTTCTAAGGGTCCGTAACGCAATTGCTGAAGGAAAAATAAATACCTTTTTGGTAAAATAAGTCAAGGTGCATGAAGGAGGTTACTTGTGACTTTGTTAAATGACGGTCCACTTTAGGTAATGGAGAAGAGACAAGAGAGCACCCTCTCAATGCACTCCAATTTAGAAACATTTTTCCCACACAGCTAAAATGACACTGGAAGGAGTCCATATAAGGGTAACAAGAACATTCTTCTGAGGTATGCAACAGTGGGACAGGTTAAAAGAAAGTAATGTGTTTAGCTTGGACTACAGACAACTTTACAGGCTCTGTAGAATCTAATACACTAATGGCCCTTAAAGATGTGAAGATGCTTGGGTTACAGCCGTGTCTCTCAGTTCCTGGATTTAAAAATAAATAGGTGCTGGCGGGTATGGCATGGTGGTGCGGCGTTTTGCATTGGTGATTCGCAGTGCTGGGGCCCTGTGTTTTACTTCCCGAGTTGCTGTGTGTGTGGAGTTTGCATGTTCTCCCCCGGTGTGTGTGGCTTTGCTCTGGGTGCTCCGCTTTCCTCCTTCAGTAAGGAACACACACTGGTAGGTGAAATGGGTTCTGGCAACATCTGTGAATATGGTGTGAGTGTGTGTTAGATGTGTCTCACTGAGATGCGGCTGTGTGACCCCTGAGATGGTCTGGAAACCCATCCAGGGAGTATCCTGCTTTGCTCCCGTTGCTTGTTGGGATAGGCTCCAGCTCCCCCTTGACCCCGCATCAGATAAAGTTGTTGGATGGGTAGGTGCTGGGTGGGTGGATAGGTGCTGACTGGCCAAGAACGTAAGCTGCTTAGGAACTAAGAAGGATGGAGCTGGCAAACAGAGATATACTGTATAAGGATGTAAATGTGCTACAACAGCCACATTCTAACCTCATCCTGTGCTCTTGCAGTGGCAGTGCTACTGTACATTGTTGCACATTGGCGTCATCTCCCAAAAAGAAACTGAGTCCGTACAGGACAAACTTCATAAAAAATGGGGATTTGTCTCATCTAGTTTTCCATGTAATGCTCTAATTTCTCTCCATGAGGCTTTAAACAATGAACGTGAGAGCACAGATCTCGCCTGTGATCTTCAAGTTTGAGTGTGAGCAGGTAAGCTCTATTCCCTCCCTCTTACCTGACCCTACTCAAAAACAAAATGTTAAGCCAGGGATACTACTGTTACAGAACTGCTGGGGACAGTACTAAATTAATTAGCAGTGATGCTCTTGCAACTGTGTTACTCTTCCAGAACAGTACCCAGTACGTGCTATCTATTTTGAGTCTATAATGTGCAAAGAAGATCCATGTAAGAACAACTGTGCTTTGGAAAAACACCTGCTTAGTAACAATTACATTATAGTATCATATATTTAACTTGGCACATTAGTGAGAAACGGCTGATGAAATGAACTGAACTTTCACTGTAATGTTATACCTTTTTAGATGATTACATTAGGCCATTTGAATGAAAAGAAATGGTATTCAAATATATTTTCTGAGTTACTACATGCAAAAATTAATTTTCAATTACTAACTGAATTATTTTTGTTATTTCAAAGGTACTTTCCATAATATTCCACATGAAGGTGGTGTTTTTCTTTTATTATATTACATCTTCTTAATCTTAACTGAAAATAATACAAGTACTGTACAGTATGTCCTCACTGGCATTTCTTCAAGCTTTACAAAAAGTGCTTTAAATAGCAGGCACTTGAAGTCTATGCTGCACTAAACTAGAACTATCACTATATTTCAGTGATAACATGGTAGTATTACTCAGCTGTGTTGTTCTCCTAAGTACTAAGCTTCACTACTAATTTTTCAGGAAAACAAATGCACACACACCCCACACCACCCAGCATGACTTACCTCCTAAATCCTTTCTAACTAATCCTGGGCTTTTTTGTCCTTTGCAGCATGAAAGAGGAATAAGAAAATATTAAGTTCACTTTGCTTTGTCTGAAAGATCCAGGTACCAGAAAAATGCTTGCAGTTATTTTTGGGAAATATGATGTATAACTCTGCCAACAAGGTGTATGCATGCGTCTGTGCAACAGTTTACTGTATTGTTACACCTCAATAATCCATAATCAATCATTTTCTGATTCTTACATATAGAAAATAATTTGACAGGAAATGGCAATCAAATTCTTTTGAGCAGTATAACTGATGTGGTCACATAAACATAAGCTCCACAGATTGTGCAGAGCCGATAAAGAAATGAAAGGACTCCTTCCTAAATTCTTTAAATCTTACAAATTGTTACTCTTAGGTAAAATATTACATAGATTACTTAAGCAATGAGTAGTTTAGAAACAGTAGCACTATGATGTGGAACATACAGTACTTGTATGTTCCACATCATATGCATTGTTTATATTGAATTTTATTCTTATTTCTTTTCTGCTGGTGAGACTTCCTGTTACTGTATGTACGAATTCTGTATGACTGCTGTTTCTACTTCCTGTTTTATATTATTCAGACAAAAACAGCTATCAAAGCTGTTTCCAAAGCTGAATGATGGGAATGTGATCAGGAGGGATTTCAGTGCCGCACAATTAACAGAATGTTCATCGAAGCCACACTTCTCAGCACCTATTTTTCAAAAGTCTTCTTAGGTGGACACGCTTTTTAGCACTGGCCTATTCAGAGAACCTGTCCTCACACCTATTACAGCATATTAAAGAAACAGAAGAATAGCAGCACAATCAGAAAAGTTAAAAAATACACGTTCTTTTGACACTACATAGAAAACAAATATTGTTGTTTTGCTTTCTTGTATGTTTTTACATTCATGTCTGTGCAAACCAACGCAGAAATAGTTTCTTCTCCCTTCACATGCCACTGTTCCTGCCATTTGCTATTTAATTTCAAATTGAAATGTATTTGAAAGCTTTCAGGGTTTTTGTGCTTAGTCAATGGTAATTGTAGCAGTAAACCAACAGTAAATACGAGTCTTACTGTTAAGTTGTAAATGTATTACTGTATGTTCAATCTTTAAAGATTAGGCAACAACCTACAGGTATGTATAGTAAGTGTATCTGCAGTTTTATATGAATAATAAAATACACTTCTAAAGCGTGTTTCTGCTTTTCACATAACTGGTGAAAATGAGGTGTTTAACCCAGGAATGCTCAATGACAGGGCACTGTACTTCATGTATACAAAAGACATTACGTGTGCTTCTTCAAACTTATTCATTTGCAAAAGTAGAGTGTGACGATATTCTTCTGTTGTTAATGACAATAGTACTCTGTATGGGACAAAGTTATTGTATATATATTGATGGAAATAAGAAACGCAACATTTTCTATCAGTGACAGGACAGTGAGGCTCCATGCTGCTGGCCTTAGAGCAAGGCGACCTGTCAGAGGCCCTCTGCTCACACCTCCTAGACGTCACACTTGACTGGCTTGGGCTAGACAGGGGCTGCGATGGACTCGTCAGCAGTGGCATCAGGTCCTCTTCACGGATGAGTCACTCTTCAGCCTGCTCCACGCAGACGCAAGGGCCAGAGTGTGGAGGAGGTGTTGCGTTTGTTTTTTCCATCAGTATATATTGCAATATATGAATGTTTTAGGCAATATTTTTTACAACGTAATTATCGCTTTTAGATGCAAAGTTATCTCAATTAAAATAAATATTTTTTTCTAATAGGCTTTCATATGGTTATATATTATAAATATATAAAACCTTCAGATACACAAAATCTGTAGCAGGGGTTCTCATTCCCTTTATCAAGGGTTAGAAATGTTCCCTCTTCACATATAAAAATACAAAATAATATATAAATGTTTCTCACAATACTCAGTAGTCACTAGAATACAGCCACAAAGTCACACTGTTGATAAGAATCCTTTGAGATCTTCCATGAAACAGCTAGGAAAGAATCTTTTGTGTTGATCCAATTAAGAAAGGCAGCACTCTAATTATATGGAATGGTACATGTAATAGTACACAGTAACAATGCTGTAATCTATTGGTTACAAAGGGATGAATAATCCATCAAAACTATGTGATGAGTCTGAGCCTTCTTGTCAGAGTCACATCCACTCGTCGCTTTGCTTCCATCCAGAGCAGCACACAGATCATCTGCTTCCCGGCCACTTGCAGGTTTCATTCAGCAAAGTGGGGTGACCCAGCACTTACAACACTAGGCAGTACATGAGCACACCAAGCATGATGGTCAAAAACCATTTACTAGCGGACAACAAACCAAAAGTATAGCACTTTGAGATGATGTACCATGAAAGATGCAATAGAAAATAAAGGTTGATATCATTTGATTATGGAAACAAAAGCTAATTAAAGAAGAAATCTGTCATTTTAAACAGAATTGGTTATGTAAAACTCAAACCAGCACTATGAAAACAGAAAGTTTACAGGCAAGCCCAAAACATGGTTTTCGTCTGCACTGCAATAGCAGAGAACAGCACAAAATGGTGACAGGGTTAAAAACATTACCTTCCAGGTCTCTCCTAGCTACCGCTGGGCTTGGTGGAGCTCCAAGGCCTTTGGGCAAGAGCAAACAGGGGGCATTGTTTTGCATATAAAACACAAGACAAAGCCGTAAAGCACAAACCAGAAAGAAACAAAACTGCCATTGTATTATTTTAAAGAAAAATTTAATCTAAATCTAAAAGAGGAAGTAAATCTTTGCAGGGAAAAAAGAAAAACCTAGCTGCTCTCTCTACTGTCTTGCTGCTAAGAACAAGTCTTTCACATCAGCTTTAACTAGGAGGAGCAGGAAACCCAACACTGGCAATCAATTTTATGGAGGCAGTATCAGATACATTAGGAGGTTTGAATGTTAAAGACTTCAAGGACATAAACCACAAATCCGTTTAGACACCTGCGTTCAAAGACAAAATGGACTGTTGCATGAGAGGAGCAGACAAAACTTAGTGACTGAATCCAATTTTTAATTAGATGTTCACTTGCTATCAGTCACAATGCAAGGACAGATTTCCTCATTTGTTTCTTAATTCTGGAAGCAGGGGAACTACAATTGAATAACGCTACATCCCTACTACTTCCCATTGGAGCTTTGTAGGAAATTATTAAACATCTAAGAGCTTGAGAGCTTAAATCAGGCCACACTGTCTGCTATCCCAAGTTTAAGCAGCTGTCTACACCTGAAATAAAATCTACCTAAATTGATGTACAGTATTAGAATATGTAGACAAGGATCATGCTTTTGATGTTTGCAACTTTTTAATCAAAATTCACTTACAGATTTCAGTTTCTCCATATCTCCATTTGGACGTTTTGTCATCTGCTATGCTCATTCACACATGTTTCTTTCTTTATTCTCCATTGGTTTATACTCCCTCACCCTTTTCCTTTAATCCTCACACTTAAAAAAGACTAAAAAACACAAGTGTATTCGCTCTTCCTACTTTACAGCATGCAATTAACTTCCTGGACACGTGGTGCTGTATTCAGGCTACACCTGAATCCCGTGTTCGGGATTGACTGGTCTCAACCTAGGCTGTTCTTAAAGAATTCTACATTTTTAGCTTTGGTAGAGATGATAAATATTTATTGTATTTAAATCCACCCATGGGTGGCACTATGAGATTGTGTGTGGTTGGATATGTGAGTCTGCCCTGTGATGGACTGGTGTCCCATCCAGGGTGTACCCTGCCTAGTGCCCTTTGCTTCCTGGGATAGGCTCCAAGTCCTCCATGAGCCTGAATTTGATGAAATTCGAAGAAAATGGATGGATAGATGGACATCCATCAATCCTCCACCACCACTTCATCCTACAGAGAGTCACGGTGCTATGAAGCCTAACCAGGCAGACACAGAAGATGGTAAGAGATTGGAGCACCAGAGAAAAACTCATTAATACTGTATGTGGAGACCAAGCAGGACCAGGCAGAAATGTTAATTACAAGGCTCTAAAGCTACCCTAATTTCTATATTCTAGCCCACTGTTAAAATACATCCCAGTTCCTTAGCAAGAGACCTTACTGTGATTTAGCACTCCAGTGGGAAGGTAGCAAGAAAATACAAAGAATGGGATGAAGCAACTATTGAAAACAACAAGCTACAACACTACACAAACACTTCTTACACTACAGGGAATATTCATTCTTAAAATATTACCTCCAAATTCTTTTTTACATGGTGTTGGACTTCTGCCTCCTTTTAAATTAAAATAAAATCAAGAGAACGAACAGGCACAAGTTAAAAGTGGTTCATGAATGCTTTTCAGACTTTGCTGCCTTCAGCCTCAGACTTACAGCCTTAATGAGTGAGGAGTAAATCACAAGACTATTACTAGAAAGACCACCACAAGACTGAAGGATCATAATTTCTGATCTCCTGACATGAGCCACTGGCCATTCCACCGCCACACACTCAAACGTTACAGACCTCACCTCAATGGGAACAATTTACAATGAGTTGTTTAAACATACTAATAAATGATTCTTGCTACTAACTTTACTTCACGAGACACACAATTCATGCCTCTGCATTTATTCTGCAACTACTTTCTGGTTGAACGTGCATCTTTGGTGACTTAATATTAAATACTAAGGCCAGAAAGGAGGTAAAACCGTAAGTTTAGTAAGTGGTCTAGCTCTAAAAAAACTAAATATCTTGACCGCATGGGTAAAATTAAACCTATGTAAGCACTTTCAGTTCAGACCCTATTGCTGATTAACACATCCTCTCTCTATAGACTGAATGGATTTTGATCTGTAATAGTTCCTACAGATAAGCTAAAGAAATTTGTTTAAATGTATGTACACTGAACAGTGAGACTGTAGTGAATCATTAACTGCTGAAACATTCCCTAAATTATTCAGCAAAACCAAATGTATTAGTTTTATTTCAAAAGTAACAAAGTTTCAAAATGGAATTGTACTTACTAACAAAAGTGACATACAGAGGCATGTTCAGTAAAGAGACATTCATGGTAAAATTGTCCACCAGAATCACAGTACAGGGGCTCATATTAGATTAGTAATATTTCAAATTTTGTTAAAATGATAAATATTTGAAGTATCATATACAAATAAAGCTAGCCAAGAACGTGTGTGAACCCTACGGCATTTGTTAAAGAACCGTTTTATGTTAGTTTTATCCTGACAGGGCACCAAAGCCACACGTGTGAAAACAACGGAAAACTAAAATCCCACTGGGTTGAAAGTTTCTTTTCCTTCATGCTTCGTCTTCAAGGTCCCATCTTACAGTACATCTGCACCTTATTTACTCAGCAGTTAGAATAGAGATCTACTGTGCCTACTGTATTCCTGGATTAACATCCACCAACATCTAGACAAGGGGCTAATGTTGAAGATAGATCTTCTTGTACTGGCAATCAAAGAGCAAGCATTGTTTAGCCAGGCTTATATAAGATGTTTTTTGCTACTTTGTGTTTTTAACACCCTGTTGCAGGTGTACTGCCACTGGCAGAATGCATATTAACAGCTATTCTGTCGGCATTACAAATGCAGATTTTTTATCAACTAAGTAGTGGTTTTAGACTGCATTTCACAAAGGATCACTGGAAATAACTTTTTCACTCCTATTTCAGGTGTATTCAACACAAAATATTATAGATATCTAAAAATATATAATATACAATATAAAATAATTTACCATACACATACAGTGGCTATGGTAACAACCTTTATACCCTGAATAGAAATTCATTAGATCTGTTGGAAATGTGTCAGAACAGGTGAAAGTCCTGCACTGTATAATTTAATAATAAATATAATTATCCAAAAAGGAAATTAATGTAGGAAAGGGCACAGGAGTAAAAAAAAGGAACTAAATTATACAGGAGAAAGGTGTTCTAATTTTTTTACTAACAGACGATTAGTGTGTTATACTGCTCTACTCTCTTAGTATGCTGAACATTGCTTTTCTAAACACAGAAATTCCACAAAGGGAATTTCAAAACTCACAAGGAATACACAAAAAAGATTGAACTTATTACATACCACAACAGTGAAGATGTTAGCATTTGTTCAATGCCCTTTCAACAACAGAAGCACGACTATGTAAAACGTGACAGGTTACCGGCGTGATCTTATGACAGGAATATTCTTTAAGTTATATTCAATTTGCAAACAAAAATACAGCTGGACTAAATTTCCAGTTTTTCTGTTCAAGAAACAGCTTGTACAACAAGTGGTAAAGTCGTAGTATCTTGTTATGCCATTTTTTAAGGAATGCTCAAAAATATTTGAGCTTTTCAAATAAAGCACAAGGGCAAAGCACAAGGGAAGCTTTCACAATGAATCACCGGATCAAGGGAATCCAGTGAACGCAGTGCGGTTCGGAAACAAACCCACCTCACCGTGGGCACCATGTCAACCGCTTACCTGACGGTGGTGGGGGCCTCTGGGGAGGTGCAGGCCTGGCAGGGGGGGCGTTAGGGCGCGGGGGAGGGGGGCGCTTCGGCTCCAGCCCCTGGGGTGGCTCACGCGGCGCACTGATGGGCTGGAAATCCACTGGGGAGCCTGGGGAGCACAGATTAGATTTTCAATACGGAAGACAGAAGAAACATTGTAACATTTTGTATTACTTTTTTTCTTTCATTTATTATGGGATCGTATCACTTTTGTACAGATTTATTTGTTTGTACGCTCATTGTACTGAGAAACATCTCATGGCAACCGGCAATGAAGTTGGTTGACTAACGTGTGACAGACTTTTATCACCTTCCCCGGCCAGATACAGTGGATACAAAAAGTCTACACATCCTTATTGAAATTGGAGGTTTTTGTGATGTGAAGCCAGAAATCAGGATAAATCATGTCAGACATTTTTCCATCTTTAATGTGACCTTCCAGCCAACAAAATTCAAGAGAAAAACAAATAGATAATTATAGGAAAAATAACTAAAATTAAAAAACCTACAACACCCTGGTTGCACACCCTTTTAGAATGGGAGCTGTAGCTGTGTTCAGAGTTAACCAATCACATTCAAAATCACGTTCAAAGGTAAGCAGCATATACCTGCCATCAATGAAAGTCATGTTGATTAATCCCAAATAAAAATCAGCTGTTCCTGTATGATTTCCTTGAAATCTGACTGCTCAAGCAGTCCCAACCTTCTATCTCACGCGCATGTCCTAATATTTTGGCCAGCGAGTGAGTTTTGTTAGCACGCTCAACGCGCCTGGATTTCCAGGGCCGTACCTTGTGGAGGTCCCGCAGTTCGGGGGGGCGCCCGGCTGGGCCTGCAGGGGGGGGCGGGCTCAGGCAGAGTGGGGGAGGGGCAGGGGCTGGTTCGTGGCGAGGAACCGGGAGACACTGCAGGACCTGTCCCCATACTGGGCTGGAGATGCTGGGGCAGAATCTCCTCCACTTCCGCACAGTAGTCGTCCACCTCGCCTGCGACCAGAACAGCGCTTTAAAACACAGCTGAGACTCCGACCGGCAGCGATGCAGTTTACATCAGTTATTCATTCAGAATCAAAAAGGAGGGGGTTGTGACAAAGGAACCACATAAAGTGAAAATATCTCTTGTGCTAAGAATACTAGATGCAACTAAAATGGGAAATAAAAAAGGTGACTTGAATTTACTGTGAAAACTTTATTAAACTATACACAGGATTGCATTTTAGCTTGCCTTACACAGAAACACAGTATGATCTGCCCCATTATTATGTGAGTCAGTGTTGGTGCAGATGTCAAATTATGTCATCTAGGTCTGAGGATGGCCTTTTAGCCTAACTGTTCAATAAAATCTGTGTTTACAAAGTTATCATCAGATTAAATAAAAACTATGAACCTCTCCACCACCAATTCATAGTGTGTCACTTGGTAGTGTCTCTTTACTCTTTCATCTGCCCAGGAAAGGCACCAAGCACTGGCAGCAACATTTGCAATCAGCAGGTGGGTTGGAATTTTGAACCCAGCCCTTAATTCACCTTCCATGTCGTAGTCTGCAGCCACCTCTGCGTCTTCCCCTAGCAGGGTGGAGCTGGCCGAGGCTGGGATCCCTCCAGTGATTCTCTCCAGGCTCATCTCCTCCTCCAGACTCTTAATCCAATCTGGGCTTTTCAGACTGATATCAATGGTCCTCTCGAGTATCTGGAGAAAACCACATGCTCTGAGCTTTTCTCCCTGCAAAATGCTCCCAAGCTTCCCCATATTACCCCAGCCCTGACTGCTGTGCTACAGTTCTGAATTAACATGCATGAATGTGTTTATTCTCCATGCTACCAGTTTGTCCAAGTACAGGGGGTTGATCTCGGCTAATTCAGTTGTCTTAAAATTTCACAGCAAGAGAACTTAAATTTGGGAATATTTGGAATAAAATACAAAACAAAATCAGACCAAGACAGGAGAGCATGGGGCGGTGATGCATCTGGCTCAAGAGCCTCAGCATACACCATGAGAAAAGACCATAGCTGAATATGAAATATACTGTGAGCACAAACACAGTAGAAGAACTGCGTCAATGTAATTCTGAAACAGTGCTTGTTCATAGAAAACAGCATTTCCAGAATTAAGACAATAGCAAAAAACATAACATGCAGTTGTCCTGATTCCATTACAATAAAGGCCCCCAAATAAAGACTGTCCTCATTATTACAGTTTGTGGTTTATTGACGTCACTGGAAATCATGCTCCCACGCCTCCTTCGCCAGGCTGAAGCCAAAAGAAAAGGAGCCTATTACTTACTTTGGTGCCGCTGAAACGCAGAGCAGCCAGCGCAGAGTAACCTTCCAAAAATGTCACCCACATTTTCTGATCCACAAACCTGCACATGCAAGTAAAGTATACAGATGTGTGCAGGGACAGGCATTTTCATGCAAAGACTGGAGAAAATAATTGCATTATATAAACAGTTATTTTAATAAGCAATGACGGTTTGACTGGAAAGTCATTGTTTTATATGTGTAAGTCGATTATAAAAGGACAAAAAGGCATGAGCAGACGTTAGGACAAAGTGCATCCAGCTCCAGGAAAAGAGGCATTTCTTTACACAAAAAGTGGTGGGTGTGTGGAACAGCTGCCAAGACAAGTTCTTGAAGCTGAATTCTTGGGAATCTTGTAGGAATGGCTGATTGAGATTATTGGAACAAACTAGCACAATTTACTGAATGGCCTCCACTTGCATGTAACCTTTGTTATAATGTTCCATTATACAAAAAGAGAATTCTAGTCATATATTGTTGAATATATTCCCATATAGTATATCTTTTGTATGTAATTTATAATATATCTCATTTATAATTAATATATTTTTTTCTACATAAAGTGATCGATTAAGGTGAAACAAAGTTTCCTACCTAATAAGAATGACTTCTCCGCATGCAGCAAACTGCTGCAGCAAGTGGTCAATGAGATTGTCATCGAAGTAGTCGTCTTCAGGAGTGGAGCTGCTCAAGGAGACCAGCACGGTGCCATCCGGAGGCCCCTGCTCTGCAATAACCTCTTTATAGATTTGGTGACGAGCCTCCGGGTCCACCTCCAGCACATCCACATCAAGGACAGCAACTACTGGCCTAGGCACAGACAAAACTCAGCTCAGGCAAACTGTGCAACACCAATGCAAAAAAGCCCACTTTACTCAGATTTAGCATGAAAAATAAAATAAAGAGACTTAAACCAATATCTCACTGATGACACCAAGCAGTTTTAACAGAAACACAATAATCCTGTATGTTAATTCAAAATGCATCACCAGAAATTTACTTACTACACTTCTCCTGCCATAATATCAGAAGGGCCACCAGTAATAAGAATAATCTGTCTCGGTGGTGGGCACAGCAAAGTTTCCTCAGGAATACTCTGAGGAAGAATTATTGCCTTCCCTGGCAGCAAGAGTTGCCAAACCTTAACCCAATAAAAGGAACAACTGCAGTGTCCCACACACTATTAACTTCATCACAGCTATAAACAACAGTGGTCCAGTGAGAAGATGATTTTGGGCTAGAAGACAAATCTATAAATACAGCATGTAGATGTTCATCACAGACAGCTGTTTTTTAGACAATATAGGAATTATGTGGTCCATTTTGGGTCACAGAGTGAAACGTTCCTGTCGATTAATTTGTGCAGGGACCTACAAGTCTGTGCCATTTGAGAGCTGAGAGCACAGAGATTTTCATTACCTGTGATCTGATGTCTTTAATTCTGCTCTGCCGTAATGCAGAAGGGTACCAGGAGTCCATGTGTACTTGAACTTGTCTTCTTCATTCACACATGCGTTCACCAGACTAATGTCCTCGGCTTTAAGATACAAAAACACAGCATTGGCACAAAAAAAGGAATTCTGTGAAATTTCAACAAATGTGGAAGTAAGTGCAAACAACACTGCTTATAAGACTGACTGCAGTGCAGCAGTGATTTTGGCTGATATGTGAGTGAAAAAAACATCTTAATCCTAACTGCAAACAGATGACCCAGGTAACCAATTTAACTGACAGGAAGGAAGGAAACACAGCTAATTAATAATTAATACTGACCTATAAGAGCTACATTAAACCCATCTGGGAAAATCAATTTACATAGGTTAAAAAACAAACAGGGTTACATAAGTTAAATATTAAAGACGTTATATTTTACATTATATAAATATAAACTACAAGGGGACCTGATATGCAGTGAAACACAAACCAGAGGACAGAAGGGATAACTACATGCAAGTGCATTTAAATCCAAGAACAGGAGGCACTTCTTTATCGAAAGGGTTGTGGGTATCTGAAACAAGATACCCAGACGTGATTGAAGCCGATACTTTGACTTTCTTCAAGAACTGGCTGGATAAGATCAATGAACTGCTAACTACTCAACAGGCCAGATGGTCCCATCTTGTTTGTTAACCTTTCTTTTTTCCTTATATATTGAGAACTACACAAGGAAAAAAAAATATCTGCCTGGATGAAAATAATTAAAATAAGCAGTAAAGGCTTGAGACAAGGTTTAAATGAACCTCTTTGCTAAGACATTAATTCTCTTAAACCCGGATCGCTGTGGCGGTGCTTTGGCTGCTACCTGAGTGGGCTGTGAGAATTAAGCCCTGTCACACGGCAGTCGGGGCAGAACTCCAGCCCAGTGAACAGAATCTGTTCAATTCACTACTCAGGGCACCATGAGGTGTCTAAATTTTGGCTGCTGATCTCAACGCACTTCACGTTAGCAAAGAACAAAATTTTTTTTTTAATTTTTCATTTCATTTATCATTTTCATTTTTAAATTAACATCCAGGTTTCTTTATCATGGGATATCTGGATGCTTGCAGGTATGCACAAACAGTAATGTTATTGTACAAAATAATGGACATACGCTTCTTACAGCAAATTATTCTTTTTAGTGGTCTGTTTAAAGACACCAAAACACTCCGGTCCACTTTTAATATTAGAATATTGAGCCTTTACATCTACACATTGCTTCTTTCAAAATTGTTCTTTCCCCTAAGGAACCTTAGTGCCTTTTACAAATACAGTCCTTAACACTGCAGTACACAATGATCCCCCAAAGTGAGAGCCTGTCTGTTATTAATGATAGTTGTGTTTGTGCAAACTTGACATTTAACAAACAAGCAGCACAGAAGCTCCATGTGCCCAGCAGGATGCAGAGATCTGTGGGCCTGTGAAGAGAAGGAGGAGACCAAACCTGGAAACAGCAAAGTGTAAAAAAAAGCAGTTTTCGTTTTAGAAGTGTGGCTTACTCATGATGGTATAGAATACAGCTTTCTGTTTAGAATCTGCTCAATTCTAGGTACGAATCCAGGATGCTGCAGGTTTGTATCTGTTTGACACATTTACTCTGTTTTTAATCTTGCAAGTCTAGTATACTGAAGTTTATGTTGCTGTATACTGTACATCACCAACCTGAAATGGCCTTTTGATTTGCAATGTATAGATATATACTGTATGATAGTGCTTTTAAACTGTGAACAGGAGGGATGTCTTTGCTCAAAGAGTTGTGGGAGTACGGAACAAACTATGTTGTTATTAATGGCCTCCTTTGTCTGCTACCTTTAAGTTCTTACAAATACGTTTTAGAGATGCAGCAAATGAGAATGTGCTGCCATGTAGCACGATGTTGCTGCTGTTGCTGCAAGGGCCATCATTCCATCCATCCCTTTTCTAATCAATTCTTTTAGTTCAGGGTCACACATACTCGTGCTAGGGCCAATTTCTCTCAGAAGCCAATTAATCTACGAGTATGACTTTGAACTGTGGGAGGAAACCAGAGCAGCTGGAGTAAACTCATGCAAACATGAGAGAACATACAAAAGCAGATGGCACCCTGGGAATTGAACCCAGGGCCACAGCACTGCGAGACAGCAGTGCTTACCACTGTGCCATCTACTACAAGTGCCTTTTCACATTTTGCAATATAAGGGTTCAGCATAGCCACAGGCCGTGACACACAGTGTTTTAGATTTGTAATACAGCCTTCAAACTCAAGTCCATCCTCTCACCAGACTTGTCAAAAGTCCACTTCCTTCTTTTCCAGAGCACGCGGTCTGTCCAAGCTGGAGTCCGGCATTTCTCACTTGTGTCATAGTCGTCTGAAAACAAGTCATATTTGTAGGTGGGAGGGAAATCGATTTTTCCTTCCAAAAACCCTCTGAAAACCTGGGATGAAAGAAAAGTCAAATATTTTGACAAGATTATACATATACCAAATACAGCTAACAAACCTAACCCTCACCAAGAAACCAGGTCAGGGTTCATTTTAATGTCATACATTTGTACAGAACTAGATTTATTTGGGTTTTTTTGGAGATTCTTGTTACTTTTTATTAGATTGTTTTTTACAACTTTTAAATCTTTTTTAAAGATTGTTTTCTTTCTAGCATTATAGAAACAAAAGAGTGAGAAATGTGTCTTTATGTTAAGTGCAGCCAGCCAATGTTAAGGGTGCAATTATTGTATTCTAGAAACTTTGAACAACTAATGAATAATTTCAAAATAAGATCCTCAGAGATGGGTCTATGGATGTGAGAAAACTATGGTCTACAGTGTCAGGGAGACAATGTGGATCAACAGGACAGGAAGGTCCTGACTGGATTCAGGACTGTGTGCCAGTGCAGCTCTGAGATTCTTTAACAGCATCAAAATGATCCTTAAAGTTTGCACATGTCTTGAGGCTTACTATCTCATTTGTTTATAGAAGCTGATACTCATTAGGATTCATATATTTCACATCTTAATTCACAACAGATATTTAGGTTCTTTTTCGATGTGATGTTAGAGGGCTTAGTTCTTTTCAAAACACAAGATTAAAAACACCTTCACACAGTTATGGGAAAACTCTTACAGTCGCCCAATAATGTTCTCCCACACACAGTGATTCTACAGGCCTTTTTTCTAACTTGGTTTGCTTTTTCTCCCTGTGTCACTAATCTCCTGTTCATAACCATCACTCATTCTCTTCTAGCTGGCTTGTATCCAGCACACATGTACACAACAGCTCCCAGTTCTCCAGGGCAGCCTGTGTTCCTGTTCTAAAGACAGAGCGTGTCATGTGGAGAGAAAGAAGCGCACTGCAAACAAATACAGTGAGAGGGGTACCTGCCCAGTGTTCTTCTGGTTGATCAGCTGGTCTCCAGTTGTGAGAGCGTCCCAGTTCCGCTGGCGAATCAGCTCCTTCACGTCCTCATTGGGAAGGTCGATGCGATAGTTGAAGTCCCCACACCAGAAGACATAATCATGAGAGAAAAGCAGTCTTCCCTGGAAGCACAGAAACACGGGAGCATAGAAAAGACAATATGAAATGGTGTGTATTGGGGCTACTCCAACAAGCAGCTGTAAGGTTGTAAGGTTTATAACTCTTGTATTTTCGAGAATATTTCTAAGTGCACATCCTACCGAGGACATCTTATTTTTCCTCTTTGAAGCTGTGCACTGCAAGCTGTGTGCTTACTATGTAAGTTGTCAATGGCCAAGAATATCAGTTTCAATCACTAATAAGGTTTATTACAGACACAGGTAACCTCTTCACTGTTATTAATCTCTTGTCTACAGTAACAATATGGGAATTTTAACCTTTACTGGAAAGCATTACCATTGGGAAGCTAAGCTTCCGTGCGATTTCGTTGTAATCGTCGTTCCTCTCCTTGACCTGGGACTGCCCGGCAGCAAAGTGCGAGCAGACGAAGCAGATGCTGGTGGTGTGGAAGAGCATTCGGATCGCCACCGCGCCTTTGTTCCCTGTGGCTCCCCCCATGCCCGTTTTCACCGTATCCACGGCAACGTCCCTGAAAACGACATGTTTTGAAAACCCTAGCTCCTTTAAGGATGTTACCTCCCTTGTTGCAGAACTCTTATTTCCACTGTTGCTCAAGTGATTAATTTAATTTGGATTTCCCTTAAGAGCTACACACTTCTAATTGGACTGCAACTGCCACTGTAAGTTTCACAGGGCAATTAAGAAACATGGTGCTACATCACATAAAACCAGACATCGCTCGCTTGAGACATGGTCAGAGCCATGTCATTAAACAGCTGTGCCTGGGATACCTCCAGCAACAGAGCCCAACTGGCCAAATCCTGCTAAGGTCAGGAGTCAGCAGCTGGATATTCAACAACGTAAAGGGAAACGCATTCTTACCGGATATATGGGGCATGCTGGGGTCTGATGAAGACAAAGAGACAGACTCCCACAAGCTGTTCTGAGGCCAGCAGCACATACTTATTATCTCTGGAAATATTCTTCTGGAGCTCAGCTGCCCATAGTTTCTGATTGGTAGTGCTGAAAGAAAGCATTCATTCATTAAAAAAAACTGACACCAATCACATTAGGCAAAACAATGAAATTAGAAAGTTTTAATAGGTTTTGGTTTAAAGCAGACACAACAGCCACAGCGGCAGAGTCTGTTACAGGCTAAAGGCACAACCACAAGTAAAAGAACACAGCTGGACACCATGTATTGACAGCCACCCAGCAGCAACAACGTTCTCAAGCTTATCATTCCTGCTACAGGATAATGTCCACAATCACATTGCTCACGGAGTCTGATAGAGTCTGGCATGTTACTTTCTTCCACGGCCAGCAATAAGATCCATGTGGGCTGCCTGGTGAACTCACCACACACGTCTCAACTCGCACGGGGAACACACCAATGTTTGGAATAACATTCCACAAGTGTGAGATAGTATTAGTGAGGCACAAGTGCCTTGCAATTACCACGATAATGGCAGCAAAACAAGATTCTGACTTTCTGACTTTTATTTTCACCTTCTATCTGATGTATGGGAAAACAAATGTAGAACTTGAAGATCTGGATGACTGAAGTACAAGTTATTTTAGAAAAGTAACATACATTGTTATGTACTGTACATGTTATACCACACCACTGTCATTCCATTCAGTTTCCTTTTTGAGGCAGTACAACTTAGCAGTTGTGTAGCAGATTATTATTGTCTGATAACATCAACATGGTTTTACAAGGAAAAATGGCATTACCTTGCACTGACAATATTTCCAGCATTCAGTTCCACCATTTCTTCAAATCCAATGGCAAATATGTCAATAGGGTTTCTTCTGCTGTCTGAAGGATGTATAAATATTCATATAAAACAACCTGATGAGCTTTGAAATAAAACCTATTGCTGAACTGTACTGTACTTTTGATCCTGGACCTCCACAGTGCCATCTGGTTTTCATTCAGTTCTTTCATTAGATGATGTTTACATGCCTTCCAGATCACCATTTGAAGGGCCGAAATCAACATTTCATTACAGGGATTTTAAATGATTAATGAACCTAACATGCATCAGTCTTTTCGGAAGCATGTACTTGTTCTTCCTGAATAAGCAAATGTAACCCTGTGACCTCGAGATCAGACGCAACCAATCTAATTAAAAAATTGTTTAATTCAAAAAAGACATTACAAGAACAGAATACTGTTTTCTAGTCATAACTAGATGAAGCATAATAAAGTCTTTTTGCTTTCCTTCTCTAATGGGCGCTCAATGGCTGAAAGGAGGGTCACATCAAGGTCATGTTCTAAAACACAAGTTTATCTCCAAAATGACAGATACATATTTATATCAATAAACAACTGCAAAAAGTCCTTCCAGGATGCATAGTTTTGAGAAGCAACCAATCATGAATTTTGATAATTTACAGAAATGTATTTAATCATATTTTGCTAGGTTTATATAAGCTCTTTTTTCACAGCTGCTAATTAAGCAACAGATGCATTGCTACTAAGCTTTGACAGTACTCCATTTGTGAAGGTCATATTAATAATTAATGCAAAATACTATACACTGTTGCTTAACTTAATTATGAACAATATTGGAGATAGAATAACTAATTTTAATTAAAAACAAAAGAGAAGTAACTATTTACAAACATTTAATACATTTCTGGTGATGTTTAAAGCTTTATGTTCTAATTACAATTTTAAAGCTGTTTACAATGCAAGAAGAACAACCACAATACAAACAATATTTATCTTACATACATGCAATGGATAAATAGTAAGCTTTCATACTAAGTATCACAGTTTATGAAGTAAGCAAATTATCTTTATATATTTTATGTATTTTTAGGGTAATAACATATAGTAAAGTAGTAAGTCAGTATAAGCTTTTTTGTAGTGCTAAGACAGAGTGTAGCTGTATTTTTTTACAATTGTAATTCTAGGATCCCATGGAGTGAGCTGATGTGAAATATGTACAGTATGACACATTTAAAAAATTAGTTAACAATTTAGTCTGCTTTAAAATCTTTAAATTTAATCTAAGGCATATCATTTTACTCCACTAAACATCTGAATAATCCAATAGGAGTGTAATCAATTCTATTTGGCATTTTGGACAGAACTAACACTACATTTAAAATTTTCCATCCATTTTCTAACCCCTTCATCCAATTCAGGGTCATGGGGTAGTCAGAACCTATGCCAGCAAGCACTGGGTACAAGGCAGGTTACACTCTGGTGGGATGCCAGTCCATCTCAGAGCACACACACAAACACACACACTCAAACAAGGTCCATTTTTCCCAGAAGCCAATTAACTAAAGATTAATGATGAGGAGCTGACCGAAATTTTTAATCCTACCAGGTTTGTTTACATACTGTATTAAGATCACTCATCACACCACTTACACATACACACGTAAGTGTGTTACCTAAAGGAAGGATGCTGAAACATTTCTTGGTTCTCACCTTGAAAGTCAGGATTGCCTGCTATTTTTGGAGCATCCAGCAGCCAGTCGGTGAGGGTCTGATTGCGGAAGGCAATACTTCGAAACTGCTTGCCTCCATTCACGTTCCATGTGCCCACGCACACTTGAACCTGCTTGGGTTTTGTGTACTTACAGTAGTTCTGGCACATGCCCAGCAGGACTCTAGGAGAGGCTACAACAGGAAAAAGAATACAATTACACACTACAGTCACAAATTACAATCCTCCCCAAGGCCATTTCCTTCAGTGCGGTTTCACACTGAGAAACTCAAGTTAGGTTCAGAATTATGGCAGCTGCATCTGAAGTGCATCTCTTTCAGGTTTCTGTCATTTTTCTGGTGAAGAAACACACGGTACATGCCCACTCCGCAGACAGAGTCGACAGTTCCACTTTCAACACCTTTTATTGCAAACCTCTAATGAAAAGCTCATCAAAGCACCCGTTCTTCTTTGCTGCTGCTAATATCTGGGAACCTACATTGTAGGCCTCAAGTCCACAGACACCAAAATAAAACCTGCAATTTAAGTCTTTGTCATTAACATGTATTTTCTTTTCATGTAGGCCTCAAGTCCAGCCTAAACCCCTCCTCTATCCCTTCTCCAGCACTAAGATGGCAGTCTCTTGCTTGTGTGGGGCTTCAGACGGCATTGCCTTCCTGGCCAGACTGCTGCCACTTTAAGCAAAAGTGAAAAGCAAATGACTTGAACTGACTTTTCGGCCACTTCAGTGCTCTTTCAACTGCAAAGGGACAATTTTAAAGTCAGATTCAGAGAAATCTGCATGCCAAAGGACGGAATTAACCAAATGCTGGATGCTTTTCTCCACAGTACCTAAAAGCAATTTTGTTTCTTGTGCCAAAGAAATTCAGCCCAGGAATGACAGAGGGGCACTGGGGCTTGAGCTGTCAAGTAGAGCTCTGATGTGCTGAAGAGTGACTTTAAAAACACAGATATTTAAAGACACTATTCCTGTCTCCCCTCAATGTTCGGATCTACTGTACATGTGCGTTTCAGTCCTCCGTGTTGATATGATATCCAAGACAGGATGACAGATGAGTCCCTGAAGAATAGCTGGCATATAGCAGTCACTTTTAATGAAACCAGACTTTAACAAGTTGGCAGGAAATGTCACTTAATACTTAATAAACATGTGTCTGAAATCTGATAGTGACAAATTATACGCAATCAAAATCAGTCTGCAAATGAATGTCTATTATTGGTTATGCAACAATGTTTGTCTTACTACAAAGATAGGTTTTGCACTATACAATACTCATTTTGTGCTACTGCCTAACCCCTAATATACCAAACCATATTTTTATAGCCAAGAGAGCTTTATACTGTCTAAAATAATTCTGCCATAGTTCACTAGAGGGCGCAGGAAGCCTCTGGAACAGTAGGACATTTGCTGTTTCACACATAGTTTTTGTGTGTTAAGCTACAGCATGTTCTCCTATTGAGTCACAGTTGAGTCACTGCTAAGTGAGCAACAACTCTCTACAGAGACAGAGATGAAACACAATTGCTAAATGAGTTTAGCATCATATAACTGGAGCAGCTGACAAAAGTGAAAGCTTTCCCAAATGGAACAAATTGAATGCTTACACACATGTACGGCATAACACACAGAAGATTTAAACTCTAAGATGTAAATGTATGAGTCTTGAGAAAAAAGGGCAGAGAAAGTAACATTACATTCCATAAGCATACACAATAATAATGCAATTACTGTACCTGATTGCAAAACTGGTTCTGAAACTAACAGCGGAAGCAATTGGAAAAAAGGAGAAGCAGAATTGGTTACACATCAGTGCATGAACAATGACAGTGAATAAAAATCAAAGTATCTTCTCCATGCTGCAGATCAGTAATCAAATATTAAGTAGAATGTAAGTCAAAACAGCAAAAGAGGAAATCACATGAACTATTAGCTTATGTCATCAAAATGCATAAAAGTACACAGGACATGCCCAACAGATACTGAAATGTGAGCTCAGAAATCTAAAGAAAGTCTAATGTTACAGACACAACTTGTTTAAGAAGGCACAAGAAAGAAATCAAGATCAGAATCAGTATTCATTTCACTGTTTCTTGCGCAATTGAAGGGATTCAACCTTCCACAATGTGATTTTGTAGTTTTGTTTGTCCCTGTACACATTTAAGTCATGTGTAAAGAAGTGTAACCTTTTCTTACGTTTTCTGCTGACATGCACAAAGCATCCAGCTGTAAACTGTGGACAAGTGTTGAGCTGAGACTGAAGTAGAATTCTGGATTTATACTGTTGGCATGGTTCAGAATTTGGAAACTAATCTCCCTAAAGCCTCATCAGTCGCAGTCTAAATAATTCTTTGAAGTAAGCAAATTAAGTTCTTACATGGCTCTTACCATTTGGGACCAAATAGAACAAACAAAATCATGCTGAAACGATCATTAACCCCTGAGGTTAATAAATCTGAAGCAGGCTTCTCCATACGCACCGTACAGACTGCTGGTCGTCAGTAAAGCACGAGCCTTGTCCGCCAAGTCACTGTTCAAAGTGCTGCCCAGCCGCAAGACGTCGATTGCTTCCTGTTTGGAGCTGTCGAAAAAGTTGTTCTGGATAGTTCTGGTGACCGAGCGGGCGCCATCTTTCAACTTTCCGCCCTGCAGGTTAAGAATTGGGAAAATCTGACACTCCATGTTCGTTCATTCATTAATTCAATTCCTAAAATACAACCATTAAAACGACTGAGAAATACACCGCAGAGCAGATAAAGCTTATCAAAACCACAAAGCTTCCCACCTTTGAGGCTCGAAGTATGTCAGGGAAAGTGAGAGCACCATAGTGAAAAATACCTGTCTTCCATCGAGTTAGTTAAATAAGAAATATCACTAAAATGTTTCACAACTGATATGTTGAAGCTCTGGCTTTACAATTATCATTCCACAATCGAGGAGCAAATTTCCTTTTTTCTATTTAGATTATTTCTTCAACCAGCGCAATGAACCTTTCCTTATTTCAGAAGGGTGAAGCCAATTCTAAAATACAGAAGTAGACAATCACAAAACAATCAGGCTGCTACTGACTTTTCACAAATCTGACACTGCGTGAGACAGGATTACACTGCCAGCTACAGCAATTCCATTCCTTATGCAAAAAATAAAAAGGTTGGATAATGTGACTACCAGTTAAAATCACAATCAAATGAATAATCACCAAGAGCAGTGTAGTAACAAAATAAAAAGGGGTAGCACAACACTTCACCAGACCAGAAGTTTAATTTGTGTATGTGCTTTAGTTCTCTGCTAAACCTGGTTACTGTAAAGAATGTCTTTGTCATTCAGAGAGAAAACATTCAAGTTTGTTACCACAGAACCTCTCCTGCTCCCATATGCTTCCTTGCACCAATCAGTTCAAACTGCAGCAGCCCATGGCACGAACATGTGGCTAAACACACCCCTTCCCAACAAATATGGTTGAAAATCGGTGGGTGGGGTGGTGCATGCTTCTCTTAGCAGACACTCCTGCTCTTATCAGTGAACAAAACGTTAGAATAAAGAGGTTCAGGCTGATTAATGTCATGATCCTGTTCAACAGCAGGACAATTTCCAGCACAATTACAATTCCTTGCATTTGTATAGGGCTTTTCAACCCAAAGGATCTCAAAACACCAGTGAAGTACAGCTTCCACCTGGGTGACACCTGGCTGCCATCCTGCACCAGCATTCCTACTACACAGCAGATCAGGTGTGGCCAGACTGCCACAAGGGGAGGCCAGACTGCGCAGACCTAGAGAGGGATGTAACCAGGACCCTGTGGTTAACACTTGCGATCTTTAATGAGCAAGTAGAAAAACCTCACTTTAACATCTTACCCGAAGAAAGACACCCCAGCCAGACTTTGGAAACTGTGGTCTAGACAGAAGAATGCCACCTACTGGTCCAACAATACTACTTACAACAGCAACTTGGGTTTCCTTTGAGGCCTCATATTGTAGTGCTGACCAGACACAGCCAAACCTTTGAGATCTAATGCTGCTCCACAAAAACAACGACCAAAAAAATATTTATCTACTTAGTTTTCCCTAAATCTAACCAAACCTGCTTTTCCGTCAACTACCTCGAAGCTCCCCTCTTTCAGCAAAATATAATACCATGTGACACATCAACTCACCATGTGGAGAGAGCATGAAAAAGGTCCAGAGACAGCATGAGAAAATAAGTTAGGACACAGTCAGTTAATAGGAAATAAGCATTAAATTAATTCCAATACAGTCAGTTAAACAAAGATAACATACAATTAGCCAAAGGCTATGCTTTTTTCACGCTACAAAATTTGAAAGAGAGTTTCTTTATAATAAACAGTTGTGCTTTGTTGTCACATTCTTTTGGTTGTTTTTGTTCCATGACTGCAGCAGAGATGCCTTTTCCTTATTTAAACCATGACAAGGAACTCAAAGGCAGTATTTATTCAGTGCTGTTAGTTGTTCAGTGGATATACACATGCAAGTAAAAAATAGAAACGTATTTTAAAACAAAAGTCTTCACAGCCTATCTTTACACCGAATAAGCAGATAAAAACAAACACACTCAAACCATAGTTTAGATGCACACACTCATGGTTAACCAAAGTAATGTTGCACACTAAAGATCAAAGATAAACAGATAAAGTTGTTTTTTAATACTTCCTGTGCAAACTACCTACACAGCAGGGGTCAGAAAAAGGTAGCTCACAGCACTGCAGAAGCACGTAAAGCATGATCTAAATTCAGTGGCTGGAGTAGAGCATGCATCTCTTAGCAGAAAGTCCAGGTGTCATAGCAACACACACTCTCTAACAATGAGGTTAAGACATCTTAAGCACAATGTTATTTCCTTGCAACTGTATAGCCCTTTCCAACCTGAAGGATCCCAGTGTGTTTTAAACATAGAAGGGGACCTGCTGGAGGGGACCGATAGGTGACATCTGGCAGTCATTATGTACAAGTAGCCCCAGCACACAACAGAACAGACAGAGAACCAATAAATTACTTCATCAATGGATTTAAAGCTAATACTAGGTAAGCTAAATTGTACAACGTGGAGGCAGAACAAAGGAGTTAACACCTGTACTATTACAAACAGTGCCACTGAATCTATTTAATGAGCAAGATGGCAGAACCTCAGTTTAGTGACTTATAGAAGCACAGACCTCCAAGCACAGCCTGCACCGTCAATATATAAGTACAGAGGGGAGACCGTCACCTACTGGACCTAGAGCAGCAATTTAGATGTACTTAGAGCTCTTCCATCCCAGTACTGAGTAGACTCAGCTTGGGCTCAACTGACATGCAGTATGGATTACAAACAAGCAGTAAGAGAAAACTACACTTCAACCAATAGATGTGCTTTACCTGTCCCTTTGCCAACACTTGACTGTAACCCTTGAGTTGCATCCTCAAGAGCCAGTGCTCTGTAGCTTATTTAACCTTATTTATTTTACTTCATTTAAAATATCATTTTGAATTAGAAGCACCAAGTGACTCCTAGTAAAAGGCACCCAGCAAGTGTTTCACACGGCTTAGGGAAAAGGTACCAAACACAAATGCATGCTATCTCCAGTGCTGTGCTTGATCGACCATGTCCTGCTTTAACAAGGTGATGTGGGAGTGTTCTGTTAACACTTGGTATGGGCTTTGCGGTTTAACTGTCTTGCATTCTCCATGTTACTGAAGCACAAGAAATTAACACAAAGCCAAATGTGACTGAAGAGGGATGTTTCCAGCATCAGCTGTCCTTAATAACCTTAATGAAGTCATGAATGCATCATGAATAATAAAGGGAAAGATCTACCAAAATAATAGCTTGGAATCAAGGAATTCCGAGTACCTTAGCCTTCCCCTCGAGAGCTCCAGTTCCAGCGTAGATCTTACTGATGGAGTCTCCGTTCATGGACCACATGGAGCGGAACACTTCCTGAAAGCGGGCCACCAGCTGGGGTTTCTCCGTCAGGCCCATGAGCTCCAGCTGCTTCGGCAGCATCTGGCCAGGGAAGAAGAGTTTCGGTGAGATCCCTTTCGTACGGACCCATAAAGTACTCAACAAAAGGACCAGCGCCTTGTGTCACAAAAATATAAACTATGTGAGAACAAAGGATGCAGAGCAGTGCCAATGCCACATCCATGCAACACAGATAAGTTACAACCAGGTAGAGCACGAGCTGAACCAAAAATGGAACATGCCATAAAAAAAGAAGGGACAGACAGTAACAGTACGACGCACTTTTAATCTGCAGAGCTGGGAAAGCTTAAAAGAGATGCTCCTTCTGTTAAATAATTTCAACAGAAACCCCTAATAAGGTACCAGATGAAGAGCTAATTATTAAAGTCAAATGAGTGAGGATGCCTAGAAGTGCACGCATGTGGGTCAAACACTGAACAGAGCATAAGAAAGATGTGTCAGACAAGGAGAATCTTTTCCCTTTTGCTCAAATATACATATATACACAAATCTATAAAATTCCTACCAGCTTGTGCCTATAAGAAAACCCTCCGAAGTTTGTTTTCTTTCCTACCTCAAGGCCAAAAAAGGCCTGAACACTGTTAGTCCGGTCCAGGCAGTCAAGACAATTCACTCTGATGGTTCCCGTCTACCAGCCTGTGCCTATAAGAAAACCCTCCGAAGTTTGTTTTCATTCCTACCTCAAGGCCAAAAAAGGCCTGAACACTGTTAGTCCGGTCCAGGCAGTCAAGACAATTCACTCTGATGGTTCCCGTCTGACACCTGTGAAGACAAATTCCCCAATGGCACTGGAGTACAGATTCACCACTTCAGTCCTACATTTATATTTCATGTGTGCGGGTGTTGTGCCCTTGGAATTCTATCATCTATAAATCAAGGATACTTAAGATGGAACATGAACAAGGCAATCCATCATTTTCAAAAGAGTTTAATCTTTCCCCTTATATTTAAGATCTGTTACCATAGTCTTTATTTTTAATTTAGAATCGGCAAAGGTTTTACTAAACACCAACTCATTTTTGCATTGCCTCATGTTTTGGCTTCCAATCAGCTGGGAGAGAATGAAACACATGGACATCGTCCTGCGACATGCCTGCCTACAGAGTCACTCAGGACATTCTGCGATTTCCACAGAGTTACTACTACGAAACTTTATTTCATATAAAGCCTTTAGTTTGCATCTCAAAGTTGCATCTCAAAGTGTTTTACAGTAGGTGTAAAAACGACGTTTAAATGAAAACATTTATAAGGATAACAAATTACAAAACAAGCACGTATAAGAAAAATAAGTGGTTCGAAAAAGCTAGTGGTCAGTAAAAGATACATGGTCATTAGAAAATAAAGCAGACACAGACACTAATTAAGTAAAAGCCTTTCTGAAAGGAAAGGTGTTGAGTCTAAATTTAAATGCACTCAGGGTAGTTGACTCTCCGAGAATAGAAATCCAGACCTCTGAGCAAGAGAAGGCCCTGTCACCCACAGAATGTAGACAAGCTTGGAGCACATATAGAACACCAAAGACAAACAAACGAAGGTGGTAAGATGGGGACTAAACTTCATAAGTCAGATTGGTACTGAGGTGCCAAGCCATGTATGGCCTTATAGCTGAGAACTTTGACTCAAAACCTGATAGGAAGCCAGTGCGAGGACTCCAAGACAGGCACAATGTGATTGCTTGCACATGACCTCATCATGATTCTGGGGTTCGAATTCTGAAAATATTGATGTTTGTTCAATTGGAGCCTGGGGAACACCAGACTAAATGGACCCAATTTCAGAACTAAAACTCCAAAATGAGACAAAGTTTGCACTGATGAAAGGAAAAGCATGTCTCTCACTGATGTCACTGTAAGCCGACAGGTGCCCTGGGGTCATGGGAGTCCACTGTACACTGAAAGACTGACAGTGTCTGGGCAAGTTAATTCCAATCCCACCCTGGCAGATCGACCAACCGTTCGCTACCGCTCAAGGAATCCCAGTCCAAGTCTGTTTCTGATTGTTTAAGTCATTTCCCACATAAAGCAGTGGAACTCCAGTACAGATACTGGAGATTGCCATCCGTGGGAATACAGTGTGCTTACAGTGTGATTGTCAGGAAATTGACAAACGAGATCATGGAGAGTGGATCTTCATGAAGAAATAATATGAAGAAGGCACTTACTGCGACCATCAATTAAAGTACGTGCATGGTAGCTTACCTTCAATCTGTGGTAGACACTGATGATGTTAGTGCATTGTTATGAGTATTGTGGTGTACAAGTACTGTACATGATTCCCTGGTCCTATTAATACCAGTACCAAATTTCACTCCTCTGTGGGTTCGTTTTCATATTACAGCTGTTGAACAGGCCCAACTTACTTCCTAAGCACCCTGTGCATCCTCACCTCTGAACAGTGTTGTCCCCATAGTAGAAGAAGCCGCACTCCTCCAGGAACTTGCTGACCTGGGGCTTGAGGACACTGTGAAGCTTCTCGGCCTTCCCTCCCTTAACCATCTGGTGGTAGTCGAAGTTCACCATCCGCACAGCAGTGGCATGCTCTGACGCTTTTAAATGGCTCTGCAATGAACAATTATCAATTGCAAAGAAGTCCCATATGTTAAAACGAGTTATTTTTGTAACATGCTAAACCCATAGCTTGTTAGCGATGTGGTTGTGGTTGTTTCTTTTTACGTTATTTTGAGCTGCTTTTCTGAAACTACAGCAACAGTTAGGTATTTTGCAACTATGCTTGTTATGAAAAATAAAAAATTCAACTGTTCTGAATAATAAACTTAATAAAATCACTATATTTAAGTAATGTAAAAACTGTATTACAACATTTTAGGAACTACAGTGAAAATTACTCAAGTCAAAAAATGATGTTCTCAGTACTTAAAAACTAGGGAAAGTTTTAATTATTCTTCAAAATAGTCAGAGATGTTACAGACCTGGAAACCTTTGCTAAGCATGTGCTCCCCTTCCTTCATTCCAAGAAGATTTACAATCACTTGTTTGCCATAAAGTCTTCTAAGGGTGCTGAAATGCCTGCAGAAAAGAATATTACCTTTTAAAAACTTTAAACCCGTAATGGTGCTTGCCTGCACGCAGTTTAATTTCTAGGATGGCATGATGAAGCCTAGGGTATGTCACTAGGCTGCCTGTAACTGGGATTCTCCAAACAACAGCGCTCAGTGCTCTGGGAAGGATGATACGAGTCGGACAGGACTCTCAGTGACCCCTTCTGCCTCCCAGGCACTGCTGTCATTGAGAGACGCATCTCTTCCAGTCGGTGTAGCATGTGATGTGTGAAAAGGTGAGTGGCCTGGAGGTGAGTGGGTTAGAGAGAGTCGGCCTACACATCCTATTTTTCCTGTATGTGCGGTTGTGGGGAATTCTATGCAGGGAATGTAGATGTTAGGCGAGATAAAACACACAATGGGCTATTCTGAATCAGGTGGAAAAAACAAAAATAATTGCTTGTGATGTAATGAATTACATGTGATAATCACCTATCGGACAGCGTGTGCAACACACACACTCTTGCCTTTTGTCTGTGGGCAGGTTACAGAGTCCAGAATCATTACCTACTGAAAAGCCCCTAATGAACCAGTAATATGTGAACACCCAGAACTGTTTAGATTAATGAGCAATGTCTGCTTTCTGTCCTTAAACGACCTGCATCTAATTTACAGTTATGTTCTACTGTCTCAGTTGAGTTTAAAGCCATAAACTGCAGTATAATTTCGAATCCAGCAAAAAGTTTTGAATACTTCAAAGTATTACTTCAGAACTAAAAAAAAAAAAACCTTCATCCAGTTCTTTTGGCCTTTATAAACAGAATACTTTACATTCCTGGGATTACTCGGTTAGGGTATCTCAGGACTTTTCCTGCCACAATATTAAAAATGATATTTAAGTCATTTACTTCAGCATTATATAATTCTTTAATTTGAAATTAAATACTTTTCTGTTAAAAATACATTTAAATTTTTTGTGTTTATATAAAAAAATTATAAAATATATTTTATTGGCTTTTTAAACAGCCTCTCTTAAATGTCTGTGACTTTGAGCCAATATAAATACCTAGGTATGGCAGGCCACCAAATACTTTGGCAGAGACATTGTAAAACGTGAGATGTATTTTCACAGCTCTTCCCTATAGACTACAATGATCCAAGGTGGCTCTTAAGAATCATGGAAAATAACTGTATTAACAGTTCAATTTCTGTTCTCTTGCCTCTTGCTAATTTTTTTTCAGTTCTTTGACCCACAGTGTCAGGTAGTGGATCAGTTAGCAGAGGGAGAGATTCCTCTGCTTTCTGGAAACCACATATGAGTGTTGTCTTGTCTTCAAGCTTCTGACACAAGACTTTTGCAAGACTTTTAGCATTAGCTGAAGCAGATGTATACAAGACGGCTTCAACAGCTAGAGCTATGTGGATTGCCCGTACCCTGTTCTCCATATTTGGATGTGTAAGGTAAGCACACTATTGCACCTGCACTTCATCATTTAATTTTATTGTTTGGCCTTTTGGAACAATTCACATTCCATCACCTATTATCTTTCCATTCCGGTGTTCAATGGCAATAATTAACGTATCTTGAGTCCTAGAGTCCTAGGGTATAATCCCATAGACACAAATGAAGAATAGATGCCAGCAGTAGGACCTGACACATGCCTTTCACAGGGCTGAGGCTCAAGAGAAATAACAAGTTACAAATATTTTAAAAATGAAACTCTATACCTTCTACTAGAACTTTGCACTTGGCATGGAACAAGGTTAGAATTGCAGAGATTTACATTAAAGACTATTACTACAATTTATAAATCTCAAAATATAATAGCTACATTATGTATTCTGGTTTGGAACAGATAATTGTGCGTATACATGATGACAGATTAATTTGGCTCTTATCACACATGCAGCTCAAAAAAACAAACTCAAAGCAGACTCAATCTAACACACTGTCAGAGTGAAATCTTCCATATGTCAGTATTTCTGAAGATATTTACAAATGTCATGCAACTAATATTGTAGAAGGTACCACAGAAAATAGGGAAGTCAATGTCATGAGAAGCTAAAATAGGGAAATACTGGTTGTTTCAGCAAAGCAAAAGAAGGTAGAGGATTGTTTTTTTTTTAAATGGTTACCTAGATAACTTATGAAATTTAATTGAGCAAAAGAGACTGTACACTTACTATTAATCAATCAGTGGGAGTCAAAAATGTCATTTTCATTAATAGCAAAATGAAGGTACAACTTTTATGGACAAGTAGTGCAAAACATTTTAGGAAGCCCAGTCTCCATAAAGTGCTTTTGCAGGTTAAGAGTAATTCTGCTATCTTTGCATATTCTAATGTCACTGGCTCAAATCGTGACATCCTAGTATGGTATCTTGGGCAGCTGTCAAGAAAGGACTGCAGGAAAGCAGGCCACAACTTCACATACCTTTCAAAAGCAGGAGCATTGGCTTCAAACCCCCGAGACAACTTAACCCGGTGCGACCCAACCTTCAAGAAAAAGACAAGAGAACCGAGTGTGATATTGACTGTGCTGACAGGGCAATGTTTCTCTTACATGTCACATACACACATATAAAAATCAACAAATAAATGAGACTTAAAATATTCATGTGCATAAGCATCTGTGAAAGAAATGCAGAATAAGAGCTTGGTTTGCAAGGCTGGTTCTTGGCCTACATGAAAGCTTAAGGCAGCAGAATCCTGAATTTGCAATTCAAACTGAGATTTCTTGTACAGTATGTGGGGATATTGGTTGACACTCAGGAAGGACAGGCTCCTCCATCCTTTTCAAACTGCATGTTCACGTTATCTGAAATGCTGAAGGGGAAAGACAACCCACCAGCAACGCGGCAAAGGACACAACCCGGAAACATTAAGACATTAAGTACTTAACAAAGCTGTATTTTTGATTTATTATACGTCCTACGTGGTCAAATAAGTGAGAAAAAACAGGCCCCTCTCCTCATTTCAGTAATAGTAAAGGCAGATAAGTTTGGGGAATAGGCAGATTAGCAAGAGTATGTGAACAGTTGCTAAAAATGAACAAGTAAAGGTTTATTCCATGCCGAGAAGAGAAGAAAGGAAACACAACGTTTCGACTGTGGAGCATTCTTTAGGTGTAAGAAGGCTCCACAGCCGAAACGTTGCGTTTCCTTTCTTCTCTTTTTAGCATGGAATAAAACTATTACTTGTTCCTTTGTAGCCTACGCATGCTAACGCAGCTACCTACTTGAACTACAGTTGATAAAAATGACAGCTATAACATGCACAAACATGTTACAACTCTCAACACTGCCTTAAAACCAGGAAAAAGCATTTAACTCAATGTTTCGCTATCATTAGGTAAGCACCAGTATACAAACGGTACATTTCAGGGTGTCAATCCCACCAATCCAAACATTTTTCAAAACAATGTCAAAAAGAATTCAATGTTGTTCTCCCAGAAGACTAAATACTCCATGACTAAATAAGCTAACCAATCATCCAGGTTTGTGTACCTTGTTTTTAGTACAGCTGAGCACCAGGAAAAGTCAGCCACTTGATCAGGCAGTTGTGAGTCATTAAATAAATGACACTCCTGCGATTTTGAAAAATAGCAAAAAAAACTACTGTTGCTAAAGAAACCCTGAATCCGAAACTGACCAACAAAAAAGACAACTGAAACCAAACAGCTGGTCACAAGTCAAAGGGATCATCTTCTACACAAACTGAGGATTTCTGAGCTCGTCTACATTGTCAATACAGAGAGCAAGGAAATGCCAGCTGGTGTTCAAAATGAAGGCAGGCAATACCGAAGGGGGGAGAAAAACACAATAACAGTAAAGTTGCATATTGAGCAAAGACATAACTTCAGTCTGGGCTCACAAAAAGTCCTTACTCTGAAAATGTTTAAATGTGAAAGATCCCAAAGAATTCAAGAAAAAAAAAGAAAATACACCCATCCCTAACAGCTCTGAATGCCAAACGCTAGAAGCCAACTAACAATTGTTGTCACACTGTTGAGGAAATTGTGTCCGATTCAGCAGACATGATGGCTAACTATTTTTATCTTACATAAAAACACTTGCCTTGATACTCTTTGTGTATTGCTGTTAGACTTGTTTTTGTACATTTGTACATTGTACTCTTCAGAAAGAACATACCAAATGTGGCAAATGTGAGGAGACCGTTTGGTCTATTTAGTCCTTTACGTAATAAGTACGTAATTGATCCAAGAATCTCATTCAGTTGTTGAAAGGAGCCATATTCCCATAATCTTTGGGTAAAGAAAGCACCTCACCTGTATTTTCCAAGTGGCATTAGTTATTCAGCCAAACTTTTGACTACAAGGCATAATTTGTACTGTGACCAACAGCAGTAAATATGGCTCTGAGAGAGGTGACAGTTTACAGCTGCCCTAATTGTTACACAGTGCTAGCATTGTGGCTGACATGTTGGCATATTACAAAATGTTTTAAAACTTAGCTCAAGGAAATTTGCACAAGAGACTTTGAAGGAGGAAATGTGGAGCAAAACAAATTCAACAGCACTGTAGAACACAATGTAAAAGTCTTTGAAATGCAAACTGAATGCTGTGACATTATATATACTGTAGAGCTCAACCAGTAAATATGTTCTTTCAGATTGTAGGCTGGTGCCTGTTGCCCCAGATCCTGGATATTTCATTAAGCTATTGTGACTAAGATTCTTAAAGTGGCGTTGCTAAACTGACCAAGAGTCACTGGGGCTGGGTGGGCTGTAGTCAGCCGTTTATCCTTTGGCAGAACAGAAGGGACATTTGCAGCTGACCAGGCACCTGTGAGCCTGGAGTAGAAGAAAGAATTGAATGTCATCCCTCTTAATTCTCAGGTATTGACAGTCAACCCAAAGGACTTCATAAAGGTCAACAAAAAATCATGGACCAAAAGAGGAACTAAGTGGAAGTGCAAGACCGAGAAGAGGAGAGGCATTTCTCCAGACAAAGGTATTAATTTGAAAAAAAGCCTATATGCCTGAAGTCGCCAACATGAAAACACAGACAAGGTGCAAAGCGCAGCATGAAAACATGACCACAGGTCCTGTTGAGCTTTGCGTCATTCATGGATCGTGCAGGTGTCAGGCAACAGTAAGAAATATCACTGGCATTGTGACGATGAGTCAAAACTGTACTGCTGGCACCTCTCGTGACAGGTCTGTATCATACTGTTTCCGTTTTCTTCATTACGAGGTGGTGGTCAAATAAGATACAGGTGCTGAACAGTGAGTCATGAAATAAACAATAAGAAGACTAAAAGGAGATCAGATAGCAAGTTTCTAAGACATGGTTTTAATGTACTGGGCAGTTTTTCACCATTTTTCATTGACTATCTCCCTGGACTTACTCTAGTTAAAATTCTTATCGAGATTATAACAACCAATTCCATCACAAAACACACACTTCAGATAAAACAATGCATTTGACATTCCTTTAGAAATGTATACTTACTGTACTAAAACGCATGAAAAAATACACCTTACCCTCTACTTACCAGTAACAAAACTGGTTACATGAGAAGTAGTGCATGTTACCAAATCAGATTGCAAAAGAGAGACTGTACAATCAGGTGTGGCAACAGCAAACGCCCGTACACCAAATTTAGCACCATCTAGAATTTCTTTCGTACAGTAGAATGTCAAAAATCCAAAGGTCTGCAAATTTAAAAGGCTTGCTCCCAGTATTTACTGTGCTTTTAATCAAGCGTAGAATGATTTTTGTTATCTAGTATGTAGGTGTTATAAAGAGGCTGGCTGAACTTTTGCAGCAGTTCCTTATAATCCATAACTGAAACACCTCCCCCAGTATGGGACCAGAGTACCTACACTACAGCAGACCACCCCCTAAAACAGAAACTGCAAACGACAGACTTTGCATGTAAGTTCTTTAATTAGTAACTTCACTTATCATCACCCTGTTTTGTCTTGTTTACATCAACCAGCACAAAGCTGGGTACTTTGTGAGAATCGAGGAGGCAAAGCAGTAAAAGATGACTACAAATCTCCATCTTGTAATCAAATGAAGACAGGCAGAATTATTCCAACTCAGTGTAGTTAACATTAGACATTTTTCCACTTAAAGGTATATGTAAACATGTCACAAGTAACAAATGCACAATAGAAACTGAGATATCCTGGTGGGTCCAAATTGCCCTTATTCTGGATTGTTGACATTGTACTGCCTTGCTACAGGATACAGCCATCACCAGAAAAGCATGGGAGCAAAGACGTCAAAATACCAGATGTAGAGTTTCATCGGCATCTCCTTCCGCAGATCCTTTATGATGATTTGGGTTCAGGTGAAATAATATTCCATGAACGTATGATTTTTTCTGATGGCATGAATACAAAGGCATTACCCATTGGTGTAAGAGGCGAAAGGAGTCTCCACAAACTGATTGGAGACAGCACTTAAAATGAGAAGGTACAGAATTCTTAATGAAACTGCTTCTTAGCTTGACTATACAGTATTATCTTGATTTGACTATCCTTTTTATAAAACCTGCAAATGTCTAACATGACTGTGTTCTCTTTTAACATTTATTTTTTCATCAACAAAGCTTTTGGACTTATTTGGCTTCCTAATGGTGACTGAAACACGATTTTGGCTAGTCAACAAGGGAAGATAACTTATTATTATTAATATCGAAGTTAACATCGTATCTATTTTTTCCACTTTTGTGACTGAAATTTTCGATATACTGATGCACAAGAGAAAAGACAATAATCCAAAGGTAATGGATTTAATCAAGGATTTTAAACTGGGATATTAAACAGCCACAGAAGATACAAACAAAAATACAGCGTATCAATCAATCGTGTTATGGTTTCAGAGTGTGAATTGTGCTACACTGTCAAAATGAAAACATTACAACCTTAGTTTCAGGTATGATGACACTGAGCATTAATACAATTCTGGCAGTGCTGATGCACAGACCTGATCAGCCTCTGGACAGACCGCTGTGTGGTCCTGCATCACCTTGCCAGACCAGGACATTTCCAGATTACCTTTCTGATATGGAATAACTGCCAGGTAAGGGACTTTGTCAATATGTCACTGAGTTGTAAGGTTGCCCTCAATCTTCATCTTGTTTTATGATTATCCTTCCCCTAATATACTCATCAAGCTGAAAATACTGGAACATTTGATTTAAATGATATACAACAATGTCCTTTCCTCTCTCGTCATCGGTAGCACTACTTTGCAAGTTACTGGCCAAAGGCTAAGATTAGCCAGCTGTGAAAGAAGGCTTTGACTGTATCGGCAGCAACACTTTACTTGTCCTCCCCCCACCATTCCTCAGCATCACAGACCACAGCAGCGCAAACTGCATATAACAGAAATCTCTATGTAAACGATAGCAAAATAGTCAAGGATCTGGCGATGCCAGAAATAGAATGCAGAGGCTTCCAGAGGCACCAGTGTCTTTTTATCTGCAGTGAGATCAATTGTCCAGATCAGTTTCTGCCACCACAAGAGGTGCAGACTGGAGTCATCTAAGAGTCCCAGATGAGAACAGTGCAAAAGGTATTCTTGTGTCAAAAGAAATTCCTGATCATCACAGATTTGTTGTCTCTCCTCTTGGCTTGAACGGCTGGTATTACGGATTGCCGTGACATCTCCACATCTCAGAGCTGTCTTCCCTCAGCTCTGTCAAGGGCAAAACGGCGTCATCGGTGAATAAAACACCACATCCATCTCTGCCGCCACTTCAGAGTGTCTCTGGCCCACAAAAGATAGCCATTTCGTGTTTCCATTTACAGCCCCCTCATTGTTGAGCAGACGTTCTGCTCACGTGTGGTTAATCTGCGGCAGCTGCAGCATGAAAACAAATACTAAAATGGATTCGACATATGCTGCCCTCTGCCATGACCTGTCTCTCACAGAGTCCAATTCCTAGTTGCTCCGGACTGGTCCACTGGGTGTTTAAACAGGACATCTCATTCTTCAGGCAACCTCTCTTGCAGGCAGACTGCCTTCAATCATGCCCGACAGCAAGCAGGAGATCTTCATTAGATCTACCTTTCGATGTTCTTGCATTTGTTGAAATCATTTCCTCAAATGCTTACATGGATTTGTTATCGGTTATTTTTTGGTTAACGTAACTCAACTACCAAATACCTGTCACATTTGCGAAATGATAAAACTTGACCTTTGATAAAACTTTGACCTTATACCATTACGTAATCATCCAATAAGGTATGGAGGTAACTTGAATCTGTAGTATTTCCTTTGTGCATCAGTATATTTAAATCATTTTACTTTAAGTGTCAAAGCATTCTGTTTGGGAGATTGCTGGAAAATGTAATCATCTACTGCTTTAAAATTTCCTCTGTGTTTTATATACTCTGTGGATGAACTAAAACAGAGCTCTTTACAGAGTGCCTTGAAAACCGCTGCACAACACGACTGGAATAAAACATGAACCTGCCTATAGTCACGAGAAGCCACCCACTGAAAACCACATGGGGGCTCTGCTAGCAAGAAGAACAGATAGGGTAAGATGTGGATGGATTCCGCACACTTGTGATATATCTGAATGTCTGTAGCATTCTGTAGCAGAGCCATCTTTGTCTGAAGTAAGCGTACAAAAATGAGGATCTCCACTGAACCTGCGGATTGTTCTGACCAGGAAAGGTGATAGAATTCTGTCTCCTGATTCTCAAGTTGGACATGCATTTCCTGGCACTGAGAACATCTAGTTAATCCAATAAGGCTCCAATTATCAGAGATTGACTTTGAACTGAGTCTTATATAATAGTTATTGTGTGAGCAATTTAAAGTTTGCTCTGTATCTTTATCTTCACGATGGTATTGTCCCATTCATAATGGGTTTAGGAGAGTCAACCCCAAGGACCATTTTAATATTGCAGTCAACAGATCTGGACTGTTTCTGGAGACATTGTGGTTTCTCATGCCTGCAGTTTGAGAACACCTACGAAGCAGATTTTAGAGAGTTAACAATGCTGGGTAACACTCATTCTTCATTACATAAAGTTTTCACTCAGTTTTTACTAAATACCTCAAACATGTGAGGCAACTGTTCTGTTGGTTGCAGCCACACCCCTGGCTACCGCAGACTCTAAAGATAAGCTTTATCTTATGTGGCCCAGACACTAATGAGAAGGAGATAACGGGAGGTACAGTCAACCGAAAGGGTAGGAATTCAGCTGAAAGAGCTGAACTGCATAATCTTCTCCATTTAAATCGATGAGTTTTTCTGAAGGGAGAAATTAAGCATTACCTGAATACCTGGTTGCTCCCAGAACAATGGAACAGATCCACGGATTTGTATGAAAGAAGACACACAGTCTTCCAGGAAAATAACCTGTCAATCAACAAGAAATGTCCAATATCACTCAGAATTCATTATGCCTGATTAACCACAAAACAGAAGAAAAAAAGATTGACACATTTCATGAGAGTTTACAAAGCTTAATAAGGAAGGATTAATAAGGAAGACGAAAACAACAGACAATGAGTTAGAATCAGAACATTCAACGATACCATATCAGCAGCTCAGATGCTGGATTTCAGGATGTTGAAAACCTTTTTAAAGTATGTATTTTCTATACATTTATATTACAGTAGCTGTAATAGAGATGTACTTTCTAGGGCTGGGCCATATCAGGACATACTCCTAATGCAAAAAAAAAAAAACCCAACTCAATTAAAACAAACCAAATCCTAAAGAGATATGACATAAAATTAGAAAAAAAAGAATCGAGGTGTGAGACTTCACGTCACCTGCTCGGTTTCCACGAAGTTGGCCACCTGGCCGTCGTCGTTGGTGCCGCGCACGTGGAAGCGGGTGCCCGCTCTTTCGGAGCTGAGCCGCGAGATGACGCAGGCCTTGGCCTGCTTGTGCCCGGCATAGATGGTCCGGATCTCCACCCCGCCGCACATGAGCCGCAGCAGCCAGTCGTCACAGTTCACCCCATAGTGCTTCAGGTGCAAGTGCAGCGACTGGTTCCTGCCCGGCAGAAGGACAAACAGGTGTTTCACCTCTGCTTAGAACTCCACCTGTCCGTCTTCTAAACCCTTCATCCGATTCAGGAAGGAGGGGGGAGCCGGAGCCTATCCCAGCAAGCAACGGAGGCAAGGCAGGCTACACCCTGGACAGGACACCAGTCCATCACAGGGACACACTCACATCAGGGTCAATTTTCCCACAGGCCAATTACCGTCTTCTCTTTTTTTAAAGTGCATACTTCCATGTGAAAGAAGTTAAATGTCAGCAAAAACTTAAAAAGCAATCAAAAACGAAAAGAGCGTAAGCATGCAAATAATGTCGACTCAACAAAAAAAAAACATTCTATAAAATAAAGTTGAGAATATAGTTAGTGTTTATTCTAAAATAACCACTAATCCTTGTCAGTTTTATTTGAATTCAGGTTTTTTGTCTATTTTTAGCCATTTCTTTAGTGGACTTCAAAGCAATTCATTAATGTAACTACATGTCTGAAGCCAAGATCAAGTTCTGCTCACATCCCAGCATCTATGTCTCTGGACTGTGGGGGCTCACAAACACGAGGAGAACAGACAAACTCCACACAGATAGCACCCCAGGTCCAGAATTGAACCCAGGGCCTGAAAGCAGAGAGGCAGCAATGCTAACCACTGCACCATCATGCCGCCCCCGTCCAGAGTTCATTTCAGAAAAGGCAATAGACAGGCAGGCAAACAACCACATCCCCATTTGTTCAAAACAGTGCACAAAACCACAGACTGCACGAAAAGGGAGAAAGTCCACCAACACCAACGACTGTACCACTGTGATCGTCTGCAAAGGGTATTGGAATCAGGAAGCAGGATGTCTTGCTTACAGAACTGATAACATTTACAGATCAAAGGGCCAAAGTCACACCTTACTCTTGTTTTACTAAATAACTCTGAGCACCTTAAGTATTAAAACAGGATGCTGTTACATTTAACTTGGTAACAAACTCACGGAACCTTTTTTTCACAGCAGCGCCAAGCAAAGCACAAATGCTAAGTCATCACTATTAAAGAACAAAACGTAGAGAGAGGGATGTGAGCAGAACTTGAACTTGACTTCAGACACCTATTTAAAATTTAATATTGCTTTTAAGTGCAAAAGAAACAGCTAAAAATAGAAGAAAACCATGAGTTCAAAGAAAACTGACAAGGATCAGCGGTCATTTTAGAATAAGCACTGACTATATTCTCAACTTTATTTTATGTTTATATTTTAATGTTTTTTTTTGCTGAGACAACTTTATTTGCTTTTTAAAATTTTGCTGACATGTAACTTCTTTCACTTGGAAGGGCTTGATTAAAAGTATGCACTTTGAAAAAAAGAGGACAACTCATTTGTAATTCAACCAAAAAAAAACACCAGTGGAAGAGTTTGAAGACTACTGCATGTGTTTAAGCCTTTTCACACAATTATTTCGTGTTCCTTTATTCTCACTGTCCCACACATTTCAGAATACTGTAGGGCAGGTGTGTTAACAATACGGTTTGCTGGATTATTTTTGTTTCCTTTTTCTGTAACTTTTAACTGTTCGGGCGCCCTTTCTCTTTCAGGGCTGTTCTGCAATTTTAGTAGGGAAGAAAGCCTGGCTGAGTTCTGCTCAATAACATCGTCCAAGCTTGGCTCTGAAAAGTGATGGGCTTAATGACATTGTGTTCTACAGTTGTGAAAATTGGACCCAACATGTTTAAGGCTACTGGTTGTAGTGATCTGGACTGAAGTTTTGTGTCACTAAATTGACATTTCAAGAAAGAAGCAGCAAACCTTGATTTAAGAAATCAAAATGGAGCGAACAAAAAATGGAACTGTCGATTTTCTACCCGACAGGTTTACACATCACTGGTGTTGTGATTCATTGCGGAAGAGTTTACATTTTGGTAAAAAACAAAGTCCTCCAAGTCCCACACACTGCAGTGAAGCTGAACAGGTTTGTGAGAGGCGTTCGTCCACAGTGGAGGTGGCCGCCAATCACACTCAGACACACTGTGCATAAGTGCTAGCTGTGTATTATATATCACCATTAAAAAATGGTAGTGCACTTTTTCATACACAATAAGCGCAATTATATTAAGAAACATGTAGGTACATATTTATTTTAAGACTTTCTTGAGCTATTGATATATCAATTTTCATGTTCTCTCATATAAAATGTACTGTTGAGCCACTCATTTAGAAGCATGTTTTAAAAGAAAGGAAGAATATCATAAATTTAAAGGAGAGCTTAAAAGGAACTACACAATGAAACAGATTTACAGTATTATATATTATACAGTTTATAAGTATATTATGCAATTTAACTATTTGTGAAAAAATTTAGACTGCCTTGTCATGGCCACATCCAGTTTTAATATAGTATATGCTGCCCAATACTGATAAGCTTGGAAAACAGACTGTCCTATGTTTCCATAATGCTTATCTACTGCAAATTTAAATGTACAAATAAAATACATTGTTATTATTAATATCCAAAGCAACTTACATGTGCAGCCATTTATACAAACGGGCATTTTACCAAAGCAATTTAGGCAAAGTAGGTATATTTTGACAAGTCACTGTAACTATACAGTATATAGCAAACAGCAAAAAGTACATAATTTGATAGAATAAAACAATTCTTTAGGATATCTATGTCAAATCCATCAATCCATCTTCTAACCGCTTTACCTAATGCTTGGTCATGGGGAAGCAGGATACATCCTGGATAGAACAGAATTGTCCTGGAAGCTACCAGTGCAAGAAAACTGGAGCACCCAGGGGAAACACATGTGAACACGGGGGGAACACACAAAGGTCACACACCTAGCACCCAGATACTGAACTGGGGGCCCAGCACTGCACCACCCTATTTCAAATCACTTCCTGAAATTAAAGCAGCTGTCATGTCCACAGATGGCCTTGCAAAGTAAAAGGAAATGAAAATATAAATGTGGTAAATGAACCGTAGAAAACAAATTAGCATTCCCTTACTGAGATGGTACGTTGTAACTAGGATCTTAGCTGAAGTCAGTGATTGGGCTTCTTTCACAATCCAGGGGTCAAACAGGTATCTAAGGGATTTCTAAATCAGGAAGCCTATGGAAAAGACAAAACAGAATAGGCCAACACACGACCCACTGGCCATAACTCCAAGGACTGCCGTCTGCTCATGCTGTGGTCTTAAATTGGAGGGAAAAGATAGAGCAATGCTTTGCTTCCTGATATACTGAAATCAGCATCTGTGCCGATTAATCACTACATGTAAAAGCGTAATCCAAAACACCGAGCTGGGTGTTTAATGTTCTGTACAAATAAATCTCCTCAGCAACACCTTTTCTTTGCATATGCAGTGCATGACAAAGCACTTATTTGAATCCTGTTCTGATGCCCATCTTTACAGAGCAAATCATTAAGCACATGTATCCTGCAGGTTTATGACACTGCGGGGCTGGCTTTGCAGTGCTGGGGCCCTGGGATAAATCCATGGTGTGCTATCTGTGTGGAGTTTGTATGTTCTCCCCATGTTCGCATGGGTTTCCTTCGGCTGCTCTGGTTTCCTCCCACAGTCCAGTACCAGACATACTTGTAGAATAATTGGAAAATTGGCCCCGATGTGAGTATCTGTGTTTATGTCCGTCTAGCCTGCGATGGATTGGTGTCCTGTCCAGGGTGTTTTCTGCCTTGCTCCCATTGCTTGCTGGGACAGATTCAGGCTCCCATGTTACCTTGCATTGGATTAAGCCATTAGAAGATGGAAGGATGACATGACATTTTATTTAACATCCTCAAAAACAGGAATATATTATCTTTACCAATGTTATCATTATTATTATTAATAGAAACTGAAAGACACTTTTGTCAAAAGATGAACTGTGCCCATTTATGCAGCTGAAACGATTAAACGTCCTCACTGAAGAGCCTTTTGTTCAAAGGTGTATGAATGCAGTAATCCATCACAGATCTGAGTCTTCTAGGTGTTAGTCAAGAGGGCTGGCCACTCCTACACACTACTACTATATGATGTTCCTATAGTTCAGGGAGAGGCAGCCTGTGGAGTGTGATCTGGGCACAGGCACAAGCAGCAGTGCAGGGTCCAATAAGCCCAATAAGAAGGCTGCTGTGTTTCGCCTCTCCTGCAGAAATCAGATCATACATCTGCCAGTTCTGGCACAGGTTTCCTCACAAGGCCTGTTCTAGCAGAGATTAAACAAACTCCAGATCTCTTAAACTGCACGTGATGGAGCCTTGGTTCTTATTCACAGCAGAACTAAATACCACCCCCTGAAGTTCTGTGCTCTGGCAGCGTGTTCAAACACAGCAGCCCTCCTTGTGTAAGTCAGTACACATCTCTCCAGAAACAACAGACAGCTGCTAAGCATTGAACCTTGTAAAACCAGAAATAAACACCAGAAAAATACCAGAAAAGGGACTTTCCTTACAGCAAATGAGATTTGCTTGTAATAAACCCCCCCCCAAAAAAAATTCCAGTTACAACATTCCGGTTAATACATCCTTCCAACTTCCACCACTGAAGGTCATACACATAGATATTTAGACAAAAGGAAGTGACAACATGCACTCAAAATAGTTTGGTATGGAGTTTAAAGAGTTATTACCGATTAATCAACAAAGAAAATCACATTTCATAAAGCAGGGAATTTTTCCACGCTGTCTGATTTTGCCTTATATAATTTTCATAATATACTTTTCATTTGAGGCCACATGGCATATTATGCTCTTCATCTTAAAGAAGAAAATTTACGCCGGCATATCATATATTGTAAGGTAGTACATTCATGATCAAACAAGAGAGAAAAAAAACATTACATTAGCAACACAACATAGGCATTTAAATACAGCTGTCTGGAATACTCACCAAAAGAATCTGTTATCAGTGGTATCTTCCTTAATCCTGCGATGTGCGTTGAGACTGAGGTCCATACTGACCCCGCTGGAGGACCATGCGAAATAAAAGTTTCCAGAGTTCAAGATCTTCCGCACGTCCGAGATCCGATCTTCATCCGTAGGGTCGTTTCTCAGGGAGACGAAGTCAGTGGACGTGACTCGAAAGACTTCGGACTCCTGCACCTTGCCGACAGACATGCACCCTGTGACTACCACGAGGCTGTGCAGCATCGCGTCTCCTGGTGAGAGCGAAGAGGCAAGCAGAGAGAAGAGTCACGCACAGCAGAGTGAGAAATACCACTCTCTGGGAGGACCAGTGAAAGATGCATGGCGATTCCAAGGGACAATAGCAGGGCCGACAAATGTTTCGGTATAGGGGCCAGCAGGAGAGCTTCCTTTAAAAAAAATTTTAAAATTTATTTTAAAAATAAGAGATTGGTTCCAGCAAGATGTGTCAAAAATACATAGTTCTCAAATGGAAGGGGGGTCTGCTTTTTAGCTGGAGTCATATAATTCTCCTCTTAAGTCAAGATGTTTAAGTCAAGTTGAGCACTTCTTTCATCCGATTGAGGGTAGGAGGTGGACCCGAGCCTGTCCTGGCAAGCAATAAGTTCAAGGCAGGATACATCCTTGATGGGAAGCCAGTCCATCACTCAGCACACACGGGAACAAACACACACTCACACAAGGGCCAATGTTCCCGAAAGCCAATTAACCTTAGCTGTGGGAGGAAACTGGAGCACCTGGAGGAAACCCACAAACACAGGGAGAACATACAGACTCCACACAGATAGCACTCCAAGTCCAGAATTGAACCCAGGGCCACAGCATTATGAAGTACCAATGCTAAACACTGTGCCACCATGGCACCCCCATTTTTTCCAATTCTAAACAAAAGTATTTTTATTATACAGTTCCTTATATTGAGGAGTCGCTTTATTTTATTTTGACCTGTGCGCGTGTTCTGGACACAGCACTAGACTCGTAGTGACACTCCGAGTGTTGTCATTCAAGGAGAAAGAGACAGATTTCTATCACCGTCCTTGGCCGAGCCCAATCCCAAGATGCGAGTCTGACTAGAAACTACTGGAATGTGTGATACACCTCCCACACACCACATCACAATCTCCACCGTAGGTGACCCCGAGAGACAAATGGGACTAAAACTGGCTCTGTAAATATTTCAGAAACTTGTGGAATACGTGATGGGTCCTGTTCCTGTTGCTGAACATGTTATAGAGTGGGGGTACATAACATGTTGCCCAGTGAGTATATGCTGCTGACATCTTCAATAATGTTAGAATACAGACCTTTGTGAACCAGGAATTGCTAGGATTACTCCACCTGTTCAGGGCATGAATAGAGCACATCTATACTAGAAGACTGCAATTTTTCCACACAGAGGACTTCAAAACATTAAGGAGGTGCCTAAATCTCAGAAGGCAAAGCAGTCTCCAATAAAAACAGCCACTGGAGAACATCACATTTGTTTAACACAAGTGAAAAATACCAGATCTAAATATCCAAAAAAAGACTCACCAAGGTTAAGCCTTAACACTCCCAATATCCCGTAGGCATCCAACATTTTGGTGTATCCTCCCTTGATGGCTTCCTTCTCCGCAGACGCTATGAAAAACAAAGGGGAAAAAACAAATGATCAAAATGATTCGGTAAACACTGTTTCTATGACAACAAATGAAAGAGTTGCAGAACAGGACTAATCATTTTCAAAACCTTGTGATTCAACATGGGTGGTGGCACTGCGGCCCAGAAACCCACTGGTTAGCATTGCTGCCTCAGAGCGCTGGGGCCCCCGGGTTCAATTCCAGACCAGGGGTGCTGTCCGTGTGGAGTTTGTATGCTCTCCCTGTGTTTGCGTGGGTTTCCTTCGAATGTTTCGGTTTCCTCCCACAGTCCAAAACCACACTGGTAGGTTCAGTGGCTTCTGGGAAAATTAGCCCTAGCAAGGTTTGTGTGAGTGTCTATGTGTGCCCTATGATGGACTGGCATCAAGTCCAGGGTGTACCCCGCCTTGCACCCCACTTGCAGGGACAGGCTCTGGCTTCCCTGTGACCTTGAATTGGAGAAATCGGTCAGAAAATGGATGGATGGATGATTCCACACTTTGGACGGAGAGTGGAACAGAGGAAACAACACATGCACACGTCATATGTACAAAAAACATCCAAGGAAAAAACTGGAACGGACGTTTTCAATGTTTAATGTTTGAAAAAACAACAAGCTTAAGTCCTGTCCATTACCATTGTTGGGAAATTGACCAACTTAAAGAAGAATGTCTTTCTAGATTATCATACAGAGACTGTGTTGTACTGCACAGCAAGTATTATCAACAAGTAATATTGGTGTCCTTGAGTACTCATGAAATAGAAAAGGTTTACGTAATTTATCTATCATGTATGAAAAACTGGTTGATAAAAAAACAACCCATTATGGATCTTCTTTGTCATTTTTGTGAAAGTGATTGAATTTTCATACAATTCCCCTCTAGCCTCTTTCTGAAAATGAAGTATACTGAAATTTAAAATGTCATCCAAATGTTAAGACCATATCAGCATGGATTTCCCTGGGTGTAAGTCTTTTTAGCAGCAAAAGCTTAC